GTATTAGTATAGTATGTGCCACGGCTATAGATCGTGACTATAGGGTTCTCTCGCATATGTATTATATATAGGTAAGTAGGTACCTACATAGCCGATGTCAATTATATTATATAACTGTTTTCTCGTGCCCCAACGATGACCCACAAAATGAGAAAAAAATTGTTCATCGAGTGAAATTGAAACTCGTTAACCGCAGATCGGCTAGCATTTGTCGTCGTCGTCCCGCATAGAACGGAATCACACCTCATTACATTAATACTTAAACTGAAAGTACAGTGAGACGATCACCGGACGGCAAAGAGTTTTTATCGAGTGAACCATATCTAGGCGTCTGTGATACGACTAAAAATCTATAAGGTAAAATGACGCTATTGCCCACTGAGTTAAATATCTGAGGGGCCGAGAGGGCAGTCCCCCCAGATTACGCCTATGTGGCGAATTTGACGTATACCCATATAGTAATGATGTAGGTATATACAACGCCTGCTGTACGTATTTTGATATTATTTTCGACCATAAGTCGCATATACGCGTAGATCACACTAGCAATTTTTATTTCCGTAGCGAATCAGAGAAAGCACGTTATATATTGTTATCAAGATTAACGAAAACAAAACAAAAAATAACGTCATGCAGATGAAACGTAAGAGATATAGTGTTTATATATAGTTGTATACTTAGATATAATGATGTTATTTTCCCATCGGATACACGCGTGGAATCTCTAAATCACTCTTGTCATAATATAACATAATATAATTCGAGAAAACGTTACCCGTTGTTTGATTAAGTATTTTCGTCGAATTTTGCAGTCTCAGAAGTGATCGCATCGTTAGCACCGATTTTTAGAGACTGCGAAATTAAAAGAAAAAAATCTTCGTTAAACTTCATTCGTCATAGTTCTATTTGTTTTTTTTTTCTATACGACCATTTTTGGCAAGCGTATTTATATTTCCACCTACCTAACGAAGAACGGAACAATCGTAATACTTACATACAATGTTCGCATTGTCTGCAATTTTTTCGATAACGTCAAATAGCTGGTATACCTACGAGAGATATATATATAATGTATATAATATAATATATTATGTACAGAAACGTTATGTCGTTACAATTTTGTCGTCAAATCTCGTTTGTCGCTGAGTGCTGTTTACCAGCCGTTATGGAATAACACGAGTTTTGTATAGTATGTATAAAATTATTTTGTATGATATGCAATGTTCGTAAATTGTAAGAATGTATATTTAACTAGGTACCTACTATAAAATGCAATTTTATGGCCCGAAATCGCCTTTCAAAATACAAATTACATAATATAGTTCTACATTGTTTGCCACAGTTAAACTATACGCATTATTTTCTCAACACTCAAAATCTAGGAAAACGTGACCAAAAAAATATTCTCGAAGGATTATTATGATGTGTGCGAGAACGCAAAAAACATAATATATGTAATTACTATATAATCATGTGCAATTTCGACTATTTATTTATCTTTGAATTAAATTATATTTTATTTAGTTAGCAAGAAGTTAAGCTATTTTTAAAATATAGGTACTTTTAAATGAAATCGTTTTGAATATTTGATATTAAATACTAATAATATATATACAGGGTGTCCCGTGAGGATTTACTCATTAGCCGTAGAGGGGGTCGCCGCCCGGACAAAAACCAGTTTATTGACGTTTTACTAATAAACTAAAAAAATTATTAAAAATCATGAGATTAATGAAAATAAAATGTTAAAAGCTCAAAATGTTCACAAAAATATACTCTATAGAATGGCTATCTTCAATTTTTTCAAAATAAAAAAATAAAAAAATAATTTTTTTAACTTTTTTACTAAAAAATTTAATTTAATAAAAAAATAAAATATTTGTAGTGCTTACCTCTGCGAGTCTTAATAAAAAACATAATTACGATATCTCCATTATTTCAGGAGATATCGCAATGAGTAAATCCTCACGGGACACCCTGTATATTGTGGAGCAAGGGCGGAAATTGCCTTACTGCACGAGCCACTCAAAACATTTTTTGTCGCGCCACTACCACCTCCGAAATCGCGTCTATCGATATAACGATAGTCAATAATGAACTTTTCTTCTTTAATCTGATCTGGACAGTAACTTTTCCACCCGCGGACGAAAAACATTATTTTCACACAATTTTTGACTCATTTTCGTGTCAGTGAGACATAAAATAGATTTCAAATAACATAGTTATTTGAAAATTCATAAATGAATACTTAACATATATCTATTGTGTGCGCTTATTGTAATATTGCTTAACCATCAATAATAAGTTTTCTAATTTTATGCCATGGTAATATTTGTAGGTACAATGGTATCTTAATGTATAATAATATTCCGCGGCCTACGCTCTATAGGAACCAATGTGTAAAATAAGAATACATTTCTAAATATTATAAACTGGTTTAAAACATAATTTAATAATTGTAATATAATTATTGTTATATTAATGATACCTACGTATTTTAGTTGGGATTTAAAACAGGTGTAGGCGGTGTAGGTGTAAGCCTATATACTCGGATGTGGATACAGTTAAAGTTATTATAGTATATAGAATATAGCTGATAACTACGTTTAGGGTGTTCGGAGTAAACAAAAATTCCTCCTTTATACATATTTTTCGTTTTTTTTTTGCGTTACGTTGTACACGGGACATAATGGTTGGATCCAAATTCCAAAATAATCCTGTAACCCAAACGACATTAAAATAAGCTTATCGGAAAACGCCTCCAAGAAATACGCGCTCACGACACGCAGTGCATAAAATTCAACCGGCAGGTCACGTTTGGTATTTCGTCGTCTCCTACTATATAGAATGGCATGGTTATGACCGCGTATCCCCGAGATTGGCGAGATTTATGTGCACCATGCAAATAATCTGTTGAATAATTTTACTTTAAGCTACCTATATAGTACGGAGCTCGTTTAAAACGTGATTCGACCGTATAATTTTTATTCGCTGGTTATAATATATTCGCGCGTCGTAGTAGGATAGTAGGTACATATTATTACCTATATAGGTACGATTGTACGAACCGCGAACGTGACGTGTGCCGGTACAGTAAAGTTGTATACCTTAGTAGTGCAGTGATGGAGATACGATTTTTCTTCCAGAGGGGAGGGGGTATGTGTTTTATTATATGTAATTCATAAATAACTGAAAATGTAGGTATCCTAATAATTAAAATAATAAGATTTCAATTTATCGGGTTTAATACACTTGTTTTTTCTGGGGTTGTATTTATAGTTGATGTTTACGCATTGTTTAATCATCGATTTTTCTTTAAATATTTAACAAAATAATTTAGAATTTTTTTTGTATTTTTAAAAATTAAATAACTTTTCACTAACCTAAACGCGATAATGTGATATTGTAATAATTAAATAATCTCAAAAAACGTACGACCAATGACCATATATCATATATGTTATGTCACCAGAAAACCATGTTTGAGACAATCCCTAGTGATAATAGAAAAAAACCACAAAAATATAAATTCGAATTTTATCAATAATTTTGAATTTATATTACAGAAGTATATTATCCACTAGCTAGAGCTAAGTGCTTGTTGCATGATGATAGATTTACAAACAACCAGCGTGCGTAAAATGTTGACAATTTGACGACCACCCAATTATAATAATGATATGCCATATCGTTTTATTACATAAGAACACGAGGGTTACAGGTCTTAAAATCGTATTAGCAAACTTCATGTTGCGTTTTGATTTACCGTTTTAATTACAATAAACCAGAAAATTTCAGGATAAAGCAACTTATTTGTACTTATGTAGGAACTTTATAAGATTTTGTGTTACAACGTCACTATTGCAGTCCTATTGTATAGGAAGGTACCTACATTAAAGTATTATACAATATAATATTATATATTATTATGTAATATTATAATAGCATATAATATATGGGTGGTACGGGTATATTTGACTGTATTACATAATAAGTTGATACCAGGCGAGTGCACAGGAGGAGGAGGAGGCGTTAAACACGTACCTATAGATTGATTCTAAATTCATAGGTAGCTAATTCTTCAAAGCATCGCGTGACAATATTAAATGAATTAAATTCATGTAATTTACACTATGGATTAAGATAGTCAGTGATTTACAACCATTATAATAAAATAAGATAAGACCAATATGAGGGGAAGGATCTTGATCCTAGTGGAGGGATAAAGTGACGCCATATGATACCTCACACTCATATAATATTGTTCTTAAGTCGTGTAACTCACCTCTGTGGGATACGATATTGTTGCAGCATATGCTCTGCCAGCGATCTAGGTATTGAGTTTTAGTAATATTGATGTATAGCTAAATTAAGACAATTTCCATTAGTTGAGATAAAATAGTTGTTTATTGAAATAAAACACAAGTTCAAATGTAATGGTAAAATATATATAGTCATGTGAGGTGGAGGTTCTCAGAACTCAGAGGCTATGGTACATCTGAGCATAACATACTGTTCTTCGGACTCTCTTATAAGTTATATTATATAGTGTTCGTCCTCATATGTCCTAGACTGATCTACAATTCACCAAAGCGTCCTTGTCGGTGTAATTCGCACGTGCACACTGCGGATTTCTAAACCAGAAATCCTAATTTGACGGGCATTCGTCTCGTCCATAAGTGTTATTTAGATATAGGTCCCGGATTTGCATTCTACAGTCAACCACTAAGCTTAAAATCGTGCCCTACAACAACGTGTTTAATAGTTTAATACGTCTTACCTGCGGGCTGCGAGGAAACATCCTTGGGGTCATTCTAATCGTAATTTATATCGTGAAACAAACATAGGTATTTAAGTATCGTTTATACGTTTGGTCAAATTCGTGTGTCCGAAATATTAAGAGGTCCAGGAGGTTATAAATAAATAAATTACTTATGCGTTACCTATTACCATTAAATCGTCCACGTTACACAAATGCTCGTTTTGTTTTCCCTCAGAATATGAAGACCGCTCCGGTATTGTGCGTGGCAGCCTTCGCAGTAGTGCTGCAGGCTATGTGCGCGACCGCAGCCGGCGGTGAACGCCAGCAACAGCAACAGTTACCGCTGTTCTTCCAAGCGGGCCGACCGTTCAACGCGCCCGGCGCCCCGTTGCCCAAATTCGTGGGAATCGCGGGTAACCAGCCGCCTCAGGCGTTCCGCACTGCACCACCGCAGGTGGACGAGGAACAGGAGGACGAGGAACAACGCAACGACGACGAACCGCACCAGCGCAACGTGCTCGCTCCCACACCGCTGCCGTTCAGACCGCAACCGACACCACAGGTACCGTAGTACACACAATATTTTAATATTATTATACTGATTGATTATAAGCATGTTTAATTTTTTTCATACTTACTAGTTACTTTTTTATAATATATTGCGTATACTGCAATCAGAACTCGGATGTACACAGGTGCGGACGCCGGGCACGTACTCCGTTATCGTCAAATTTTGGATGAAATGTGTGCCACCGCTGCCTATGTGTTACCCCATAATATTACCTAGGCATATATGCCTATATAATTTTATACCTTTCGAGACTTTCTAGACTTCGCAGCGTGGCATCAAATCAGCTATTACCACTCGAGGTACATATAGGTAGTAGGTACATTACATGTGGCTTAATTATATAGGCAAGGCTGGGCATTAACGAGTTAATAAGTTAAAGTTAAGTTAAGAGATTGTTCTCACCAAAGCAACTTGCAACCGCAACTCGATCGTGCAACTCGTTGGGTTGCAGTCGAGTTTAAATTGCGTTGCGTTCAGTGTTCTCATTGAACCGAATTATTTACCTACTTTGCAACTGCAACTGTTTGTTTTTTATTATTATGTTGTTTAGTGAGTGTTATATCCTCTCAGTAGTCAGTTGTCTCCCAGTGTATCAGTGACCAGTGTATCTCAAGTAGTGAAGTCAGTAATTTAATATTTTTGGTAATTAAATATGTCTTCATCTGATGATGACGTTGTTGTTGCCTATTTATACTTAAAAAAAAGAAAGAGGCAAAGAAAGAGGCGGTTTTGGATTCATCTACACTAGGTATATTAGAAATGTGTGCTACAGTACATTTATTGTTTCAAAAGAGTTGGATCAAGATCCAGAAAAATAAATAAATAAATAATTAATGATCGTACGGTGGTAACTAATACGCAACTGGAGAAAAAACCGTGCATGTCGAGTTGCTTTCAATCGATTGCAATTAAGTTTCATGCAAGTTTGATCGCTTTTCGGTCGAGTTGCAACCAGTGGGAACATGTTCGTTAATTTGTTTGTGCTCCGTTGCGTTGCAGTTGCGTTGCAATCAAGTTGCGGTTGCAAGTTGCTTTGGTGAGAACATTCTCTAAAAAGTTAAGTTACTTTTAACTAAGTTAATTAACGAGTTAATTTTTTTTTTAGAAGTAACTTCTAACTTAACGATTTACATTTTTCCCCATGTTATTCAGTAACTTAACGAGTTAATTAATTGTATTGGCACGTTAAGTTAATTTTTTCCCAAACCACATATTATTTAAAATTAATTCAATTTTGTAAAATTAATTACATAAAAAAAACCCCGAAATATTAAATATATTTTATTAAATAATAATTTATAATAATAATAGTAAGTTTTTATATTGCATATTCACAGAAAATATTTTATAACTATATTTTTAGAAGGAAATATCATAGAGATGACTATAACCGCGTCAAAGAAAAATATAACAATTTACTCAGTACCTATCCCCTACACGACATATCACCTAACCTATACATAATCATTATTAATATCATTACTTAATTATATTTGTATTCATTCATAGAATTACGGTGATAACTTGGCCCGTCGATGTAAATAATACCCGTAGTAGCGTGGTATTTACTATTTAACTAATTAAAGTATAACACACAAAATTAATATAAGTACCTACAGTAACTAATTTTATTACAAACATTTATTCAAATATTGTAAGACATTTTTTGATTTACCTATTGAATTATTATGTTATTTGTTAGCTTTAAAAAAGGTAGGTAGGTATAATTGTTAATTTTATTTTTAAAAAAAAGTAACTTATTTTTAACTAAGTTAAGTTACTTTTATTTTCTAATTAACTTGTAACTTTTATAAGTTAAAACAAAAATGAAGTTAACTTTTAACTTTAAACTTAACTTACATTTTTCTATATTAACTTAACTTAACGAGTTAAAAAAAATAGTTAACTTGCCCAGCCTTGTATATAGGTAGTTACTGCGCAGCAGACGAAGCCTATATGAAACAGCGGCCTTGCAGTGTCGTCGTAGTTATTATTCGACAAATCCATTTTTGAGCACAGCGCAATGAACTTAATTACATCATCGTTCGAACTGCAATACACATTTAATAATTAGCTTAATTCTTTCGAATGACGTGGAAAAACTACGCGTCACAAGGTTGCGCTCGTTAGCATTTTTACTGCACAATAGTCAATATTATATAGCACGCGTTTAACCAAGTCGACCCGAGTCGACCCATGAGTTTCTGAATGTACCGAACGTGCGGGTTTCGCAACGCAGTTACTTTTAAATTTTAATGAAATATAATAAATAATAATATTATAATGTGCACCGCGTACAAACAATGACGTAAATCGTATACATTTCCGATTATCGATTTGCCCGAATCGTAAATATGCAATAATATTGTTAGGTACCTAAATAATTATTAACCATCGTGTGTTTTGTAACATGTCGTTTGCAGTTCAGTCAATTCCGCGCTTCTCCGTCGCCGTCCCCGCAGACCTTGCAGCCGATCCGCATCAACAGGCCAACCGAAACTCCAATCAGAAGACCGCAGCCTCCTTCGCCATCGCAGTTCAAGTCGTTGTCCAGCCAACCGTTGTCGGTAAGTCGCACACGTTTTATGTCCACGGTTCATATCTGACTGGTGAGACCATATTATTTGACTTTTAACATATTATATTATTTTAATATTATTTAAATAACGTCTTATTTTTAATACGTAACGATATTCGGAATACAATTTTTATGTCCACGTATACTATATGTCCCTATACTGATAATATTTTTACGTGAGTATATCGCGCGTGCTCCCTAATTGATGTCTAATCTGTGAATTGACCATGATATATTATTATAAATCATAATAATGGAGGTTCGAAATGTTCAAATGTTTAAACTTTTTAGTATTTACGGATAGTATCAATACTAAGTTCATAATGTTTAGAACTATTATAATATTTAAATTTCATTTTATTTTTCTCGTATCGATTTTATATTTCATGTAAATGAATATTTACACGCTTTGGTATTTCGATGAAATTTTCAAATCAATCAAATCCACTTAAAAATTTGAATTATCTATAAAATAATATAATATAGCAATGTGTTCAAAACTCAAAAACAGGAACAATCGGGTTTTCCGCTAACCGAGCAAAGATTATGCACATAAACGCCCAACAGCCCGGAAAACCACAATTAATGATTGTGCGGAAAACGTAGGTAATACAGCAGTGTAGCCAGTAGTTTTTAAAACAAATTCTATAGTATTATTACGGACGTCCTCCTCTAAGGTTTCGACAAATTCGATCGGCGGTCGCGGTGATATACCTACTGATTTCAAAACCGTTTTTCCTTAATATATATGTACCTATATTGTATCGTACAAACCATTCTAGCGTAAAGTGAATCGTTGTTTGAATAACTACCACGCGTCCATTATATTTGCAACGAAAATCGACATTCCCGAAAATATTTTTAATGATATAATACTCTTTATGACGTCGTTATTATGTCACCCGAGCCTGACGCATTTCCAGTGGACACCGTGCCTAAATCCGTGTTACAATATATATTATAACGTCATCAACAGTCTAAACAATAATAACAACAACAACAACAACAACACATATATATATTATCGACTGTATAGTACTATATTATGGTGTATAGTGTGTATAAGATATATCAATAAGCAACGTGTTTTTATTTTATTGATTACAATGCGATTCGTTCAGCAATAAATAATATTATATATGTTTGTGTTGAATAATGTGAAACGGCGAAGAGTTAACATAATGTCTGAATACATATACTATTACAATGTGAGGTATAACAACTATTTTTAAATATCATGTTCTTACGCAACACGTTGATAACATCCCAACTCATTGTAATATAATATACATAATATAATATTATGTTTATTTTAAAAATATGTAATATTATACATAAAGTTGAGTGGTTGAGTCACAAATTAAATTTGTGTGTATATCTAACCAAACCTATAATCGATCGCTCTAGAGGGATACTATTAATTATTACGCAGGCTACATTTTTTTCAATGTAAATAAGAAATTTCACGACTATACTACTAGCGACGATCATAACTAATAAGTATAATAATAATATTATATAGGAACTCTCCCCACTTCCCATAAAACAGAATATTTATTTCATTATTATATTGTTTAGCGATCACACGGCGCGCAATATAGGCAATATTGGTTCTTCCATGTGTTGGATATTCAAACATGTATCACTTTATTTTCGGAACTCTTTTAATCTGTAATAGATATAATAATAATGCATATTAATAATATTAATTGATTTTATGAATGTTGATTGGATATATTGATTTGAAAAATAAACTTTTTTATTATACTATTATAGATACTATATACTATAGGGTCTAGTATAAGGTAGGTACCATATAAGTATCCGGCCTATCAACATAAAACATAATTTATATTTTATGAATGTTTCTACAGGAAGAAGCCCAGGAGTTAGAAGAAGAAAAAGAAGAACCCGACCGTCTTACCCAACTGTTGCCCCAATCTAAATTCACTTGCGGTGGTAAAAAAACCGGTTATTACGCTGACGATGGTCTGGACTGCGAAGTGTTCCATTACTGTCAAGACAGTGCTAGACACTCTTGGATATGCCCGGAAGGTTTCGTTTTCCACCAGGTGAGTTTAGTAGACCTAAAGTTTATTTCAATTTAATTACATAATTTATTATTTTCATTAAATTTTACTTAAAACAAATATAATCAAGCGTGTGTTGGTCCGTAGGTGCATCTGATCTGCATGCCACCGAGCAGTGAGAACATTTGCAAACAGTCGACCCAGTACCACTTCGTCAACGACTTCCTGTACAGGCCGGTGAACACGGAGGAAGCCAACTCCCGACCAAACGTGACACTCAGGTACGGAGACCGGTACTACCCAGGTAGCAGTTTCGAGGCAGACGAGGAATACGACCGCGAGGAAGAGGCGCCATCGCAGAGACCGCAACAGTTCAGACAGCAGCCGGTGCTCAGACAGCGCATTCAACAGCAACAGCCCCAGCCCACACAACAGCACGTGCTGTCCACCCCACGCCCGGTGCAATTGCAGCAACAGCAACAGCTCCAACATCAGCAACAGCCACAGCAACAGTTCGCCCGACAACCATCTCCCAACCAAGTGTTCCACACGTCCGAGGAGATCAACATACCGTTGCAACAGAGGCGACCAGTCGTATTGCAGCAGCAGCGACCCAGCTTCCAACAGCAACAGCAACAGCTCCAGCAGCAACAGCAACAGCAAAACGACTTTGACTTCAGGAGGAAGTAGACGTGGCCGACAGTTATAGATGCTTCGATAGGTATATCAAGCGTCCTTGTCCATATACATATGTATAATGTATATCGTTTACATAATAGATTATGAAGAATAATATTTATAATTTTTTTTTAGTAACACTAGAGCGAGTCACACTCTATTGTACATATTATATATTATATTGTTAGGTTAAAATTAACGCGAAATCATTTTATAATAGGATTTGTATTATGATATTGAAAGAGAGCAATGAATAAGATTCATCATTATAAGCAAAACTACAGTTTGCGAAGAACTAATACGACATACGCAACAACTTTTATTTCAAATTCATATTATAATCATAAATATATTATATCGATCGAATACCTATACTGCATATAACCTGTACTTAAATGTTCGAACTACACTACAACGTGTATACTATATACGTACTTACCTATATTGGAAAAACACGTTGGAATACATACTGTTACTAGGAGTTTTTATTTTTAACCCAACGACTCCATTTTATCAACTGATTTTTAAAAGTGCACTCCACAATTTGTAAAATTAATTCGAAAATTGTCACAATTTCTGTACTTCAGTAAATAAATGATACATACAAATATTACATATTGAAAAAATTAAATACCTACTTTTTAGTAAAAGTTTATTATAATATAATATATTGATATAATATCATGAATTTATATTTAAAAAAAAAATGTTTTCTCTTTTTTACATGCTCCGCAAATGCCATTATGCAAAAATAATTATGTACTTATCAACTGTTTATTTTTAATTATTTCATTGTATTTTTTATTATGCTATATTGCTATTTAAAAACTTTAGTTTATACATTTTAAATTGTGTGTTATTTAATAATTAATGTTTAAAGTACCGATACATATCATAATAGCTGGACAATTGATATGTCAGAATACTTGTATGTAGTCCAGATTCAAACGTTCTTGAAGTTATTTTCAATGAACTAGAAGTATCTGTTCAATTTGATTCTTTTAATTATTGCATATTTTAGTAGGTATATACCTACTTAATGTAATTAAACTAAATATTTATAAAAAAATTTTAATTTACAGAATCTTTTAAATTGCTTCATGCTGCCAATATTGCTTTTATAATACAAATGTAATCATATAAATTATAAATTATATGATAATTTTATTGTGTTTTATAATTGTATTAAATATTATGTTAACGTTAATAAAACGTTTGTGATTTAAAGAAGAAGAAATGTTTTATTTTTGTACAAATATTAAATTGCATTTACAACCTTTCTATGTATAATATAGGAACAAGATGTATACACTATACTATCAAGATATATCTGAATGGAGAACTTATTAGGTGTATTTCACCATTTATGCACTTACTATTAGGATACTTACATTTTGAGTAAGCTCCGTTAATCGGATATTCGTATACCTAATCCCTATGTCACTAAATGGCCAGTAGGCAGTAAAACCCAAATTGAGCATTAGTAAATTTAAAGTTGACTTAACAAACTTTGGGAATTAGAATAAAATATTCATACCTACCTATTATATTATTTTCAATTCCTATACATTCTCATAATCTCACCCAATGATATAATATCATAAATTAAATTTCAAAACGATATGAAAATTATTTGATTTAAAACGATATGAAAACTATTTGATTTAAAAAAAAGTAGCTTTACTGTGTTTCAGACGCCAACATTACGATGCGACGCGTCCTACTATCTAAATGTAAGATTATTATCCAGGAAACCTTATGGGCTTTTTATTATATTTTAATTTTAAAGCGAGTTATGAGTATTTTAAAATTATAAATTATGTTTGTATTTCTTAAAATACTCATAACTCGCTTTATAATTAAAATATAATAAAAGCACAAGACGTTGCCTAGATAATAATAATAATCTTACATTCTTACCTTAAGATTTTATAAGAGGTCAATAAATTCACTATAATTTTTAGTCTAATGGAACTACACGTGTTCTGCTAAAATTTGTTATGTTACGCACTTGTAAGACAGAGACCACACATGCGAGTATCACGTCCTCTTAACAATACCCACATTGGGTGTTTAATATTATTTAGGTAACAATTTATTATAAGACAACTTACTCTGAAACACTTATAACCGCACAAATTGTTATTATTTTTAGAAATTCTGCATTAATTATTGCGAATTTCGATTTGCTATTCAATAATAATTGAACGCAGGTACCGGGCTTATTATAATTTATAGATTACATGGAAATTAGAATTTGGATTTTTGGAATTTGTTGTATGACAATTCTGTTGTAGGTACACATAATAATATTCTTATTTCTTAGTAGGTAGCACGGTTTAAGATAATTATATAGGTATTAATTTTAATATTATCTTAAATCGTGATAGTTAGTACCTATTGATAAACTTTTATTGATCTATGATTTTATAATTATGTTATGTTATTACTGATAAAAAATAACTAACTTATTAACTTATATTTTATTATACCTATACTGCTATAGATAAAATATCTATTGGATTTCGGAACCGAAAAAAAAAAACCTCTACATGAAAAAATATTTAATATAGGTTTCAGTTTTGGTTACTAAAAAAATGTATTTTAGAGCTCCCCCGCTCCGGCCTGGTTTCGGTCCCAAGATTTTCTAAAGGATTCAGTCCAAACCCGGTCTATTTCGGTACGATTTCAGGCCCTGTCTTTGTTGAACACTGTTCAAAGTCTCCACAAAATAAAATATATTATAATGGGAGCATGTAAATTATTTATTTAGTTTTGAATGGAGTGGTTCGCCACAATTTGTAGTTCTATCATTATTTTTGTCAAATCCAGCCCAAATTATCGGTAGAAGGTATACTGTTTGTCATTATATATGTATCTTGAATGTATAGTCAAAGAACTGATCCAATTTTTGGCAGCATGGTTTTATGGTCATAAAATGATTATATAAACAATCGTTTACGTCTTCAGATAATAATAAAGGCAGTCCAAAAAATAGTTCCAAAAGTTGTCCGACACATTAACATTAACCAATTCGGCTGAACTTAATAAAATACCTTTTTCAAACGGGAACCAATTCGGTTATTCCCCCATTGGCGGCTCAACGCATCCGTCTGATATGGAGACATGGAGTTGCTATAGCAGTATAGCCTATATGGCATGTCATTGGGATATTTCACCTGTCGATAACTTTGTTCCGGGTCGTCCCACATTTGTGTTTTACAACTTTAAGTATACTATTATAATATTCGATCAAAATGGCCTTAAAAGTTAAAAAGTTATATGTAGGACATAAATTTAAATTCCATTCAGATTTAAAACTATGAAAAAATGCTCTGAAAATAACCAAAAATACCTTTTCGACTCAATATACCCTCAAAAATTGACCAACATTATTTATTGGCACTCAACTACGCACCCGATGGTTTAACTTTCAGTATTTTTAATGACTACAACGATTCCACAAACCAACCCCGATCAAACAAGGTATCGACCCAAACAATAACCAAACCAATACAAGTCATATAATTAATGTATACAGTAATAACTAATAACAATTTTAAAACTGCCCAGCAGCAAATACTTGAAACAAATTCATCCTCAATACCCAATCTTTTCTACACACAGGCGCTAAGTACTAACCAAAAATCAGGGGCCTCATTTCAGTTTTTATTAGACTAGGGCAACTTTTCACTGCTTTTCCGACTCAACATTTTTTCACTCAGATTCTAGTAGCATAGTTCCATAGTAGTTAAGGGGGGGGGGTGGTAAATGTTCCGACTTAAGGTTGATGTAAATACTAGACAGGGGCAAATTCCCCGGTTCCCCTCCCCCAAATGACACCCCTGATTTGAATACTTTTTATTATTAATTGCATCACGGTATCACACATGTTCTTAGAATATATTACGGTAGTATCACTCAAATTTCAAACTATCACTTAACTGACAGCTGTTAACATTTCGTACATAATAGTATAGGTAATACATATTATTATATTGTATTTTCTGCATTACGCTCATAAACTCGTTACAATTTTATATTTGATACACTGTTGATCAGACATTGTCATTGATCAGATCAGTCTACTTGTATAGTTTTCTGTATACACAATATGCACTGCATCGAGCCACAAGTATTCTATATTGATAGAGAAAATAGTATTGTAGTAAACTTTATTTACTGTTCTGTGGTAGTTGTTAAATATAGTAAATATAGTAGATTACTTAGGTTCATATCTTCTACTTCGGGATCTTTGCCTTCTCGTTTTCTTTTTCTGGTTACAGGTGCACTTTTGCTGTCGTTTAATTTTTCATATAGTTCACGAATAGCTATATTTCATTATCGGCTTAGTACCGATTTAGACGTGCCTATTAATTTCTCTAACTCACGAAGACTTGTATTATGAAGTTGAGCCTTAATTTTATCCAGTATAGAAATTTTTTCAAACAACGTCAAATCCTTACGAGACATAATATTGTTACGTATTAACACAAACTGGGAAACACACTGAAAACGCAGTAAACGCACATACATTAATACACATCGACGAAAGAACGTGAACTAAAGGTTTTCGATTTTGTACGTAGGCAGCTAGTTGACTCTTATCGCGGTGGTAGAAGAAAAAGAAATGATTGACATAATTGAAGTAAGATAAACGTACATTACCTGTACATTTTACATAATTATATATTATATATAAAACGTATATAAAATATAATAGAGCCATAAATATTAGATAATTACAGTTTCGATAAGAAAGTAGATAATTTAGGTCAGAATATCTAGTTAAACGCTTTTATTTTTGTCCCTTATAACCAATGGTTTGTCCCGCATAAACGAAGTTAAATTACATTAAACTTATACATCCGTTCGGGACTATGCCAATTTGTCCCCTTTAAACGGTTGTCCCCTTTATGTGGTGTCCCAAATAAGCGGATTCCACACTGTATATTCGTTTTTAATTCATTCTATCTCAAGAGTCGACAACCTGCGGCTCACGGGCCACATGCTGCTCTTTCGATCTAAAGTTGTGACTCTTCAGTTCCATACTCAAAAATTAACATTTTATTATATAAAAAATATTGAATTTGTTTTATAAGAAAAATATTTGTATGTTTTATTAGGAATAAATATTATTTCGTGTTTCAAGTCGTTTATTTTAAGTCAGAATTAAAATATAATATAAGCAAATACCTACTATTATAATATTGAAACGAACATTTTTAGTGGCTCTTTAAGAACTGGGGTCTGGGACATTTTGTAAATTGTAACTTTGGCTCTTCCGTCTCAAAAGGTTGCTGTTGTAATTAAATTTTAAATATACATATAAATTTTGCAACTGAACATAAATACATGTATAGTAGGTAGGTATAGCTACAATTTAAGTTAGGTTAGGATTTATAATTATTAATTGTATATGAAGAACGAAAACCAAATACCTTTTCAGTAATATTTTATGTAAATAATTTACTATATGATTTATGAATATGGTGAACGTTGCTTAAGGTTGATTTCCTAGTCGTGGACTATATACGAACATGTTTAGTGGGGCCCATTAACTTCTTGAAGAATAAGTAAAAATATATATATATACATTTATAATTATATAGGTATGCACTTATACTCCTAAAGCTAGTGTAGGTAAAAATCAGTATCATTTTGATCATATATTTGAAAATTGAGTTGTTTTGAGTTTAAAATGCATGTGGGAAGTCAAACCGGCAAAAACCCAACTCGTCATAGGTACCAAAACAACGAAAACTCTCATCTCATCAACTTCTTAAATTAATTTAAAGCTATGATACGCCCACTGCTATCCCTCCTCACAGTGGCGTAGCCAGGGGGGGTTTTGGGTGTTTAAACACCCCCCATTGACATTTCCCCCCTAATAAATATATTGTTTATAGGGTTCGGGATTCATCCTTGCATGTTTTATTCTAGTGGTAATAGGTTCTTTTAGATAAGTTATAAATTTGTCTTATGAAATTTTTTTGTCTTATCAAATGATGTTTGAATTTGCATATTTTTGTATATTGTAGGAAAAGTGTACATTTGAGCGATTTTTCGTATATTTGTGCATATATTGAATTTTTTAAACTTAAATGTAGGTACTTACATACAATTGTCGAGAAAAATCATATTTGGACAACATTGAAAAATATCTTTAAAAATATTATGTTTGGTTAGGTACAATAGGAGCTAATTTTGAGATTTGGGGAAGCTGAAGCCTAAAATCATACTATTAAAAAATTAAATAAGCTTAAAAAAATTTAGTAAACGTTTGGGAGGATATCATGGACCCTATTTTCGCATATAAAGATTTTATAAGTCTCTTTGTGACAAGACTGTGTTAAAACTATAATTGACATCTAGATTCTAGATTGTACGATGAAATGAAAATCAGTAGATACTTGTTCGTTTATGGTTTATCACGGTGTTCGCATATCACGTTATTCGTTATTACTTATTTATTAACCTATAGTATTTTATGCCAGTATTTTTAAAAATCAAGTTTTATTTCACAATAGTTTAAAAATGTCCAAAACATGCAATAGCTGTGTCCTCCGTCCATCATATTAATCAATATATAGGTACCTATAGGCCAGTGTTGGGAAGGAACGCGTTCCTTTTATAGGAACGAAGCTCGGAACGCGTTCCATTTAAAATATAGGAACGAGGAACGGGAACGAGTTCCTATTTTGAAGGAACTTGAACGAAAATTTCCGTTCCTCAAATAATGAAAAAAAAAATATAAATATATTTATTTTTAACACGTTGAGTGCCACAGTATATTTTATGAAGCGCATATAGTGTGTTTCCGCGCCAAAACTGAGCCGCGACGCCGTCGGTCGACTACGTGTCGTGTTCCGGGTCGTTTCCGATTCCGCGCGCCATGGACCGATAAACGAAATACGAAAAATTTTTAAGTCAGAAATAATCGGTTAACTCTCTCGGTTCGATTATTTCTGACTTAAAAATTGTTCGCAAAATACACCATTGACTACCACTCAAATTGCAAAAAAAGGAACATGAAGGAACGGGAACGCGTTCCTTTTTAAAAGGAACTTTCCCAACACTGCTATAGGCTAACCTACCTTATTAAAATTTGTATATCCGTGATTAAATTATTTTTATCATGTTTATATACCTACTTATTTTTTAGTTTTTTATTACAAAAATTGTATTATGTTTTATGAATTTTTAAAAAATAATATAAAAATGTAGCTGCATATATTTAAGCATATTTTGAAAATGTTGACTGCATATTTCGATAATTTTAAGTGCAACAAGTCAAGTCCCGAACCCTAAATTTATTTATATACGAAATAAACAGTAAAAACTTGCAGGTTTTAATCTATACTTAAACACCCCCCATTTCATAATTCTGGCTACGCCACTGCCTCCTCACCACAGTTCACGACCGCTTTCTTACTCGAAATGTCAAATAATCTCATTACTTCCTCCTCATAGTCATCCTAAATCCTTATACACAAATCACATCAAAATTATTCCTGCTGGGTAATTTATTTACTCGTGTTATAGTCGTTGTATTTATGTATTAGCTCTCAAAATATACTTATTATAAACATATTATTATATATCGTAATATTGTATATACTATATTTTATAAAAATAAAATTTAAAAAAAAACCCAACTAGGTAATAATAATTAATAATTATACAAAAACTTGAAAACCAAATACCAAACTTAGGCCATAGATATTATAAGCATTTTAAACACACAGTATACCTAGGTAGCTACTGGAAATTAATCCGGAAAAAAAGACACATGTTAGAAAGTTGTTATTCCTGTTTTTAAAATAACTTTTTTTTAAATAAAGATGTTTATTAAAATATAATCCATGATTATTGATTATTGACTATTACGTAGGTATTGATCACGGTCTCTTATATAAAGACATTTATAATTTATATAAAGATTTGTATAAAAAACCGTGTGGTTACTATAAAAAAAAATAATAAGTTGTAATCAAGGTGGATTTATAAATTTTATAAATCCATCTTGGTTGTAACCTTGGACTGTAAGTTGTAACACCATAGTCCATAGAACAATGATATCTTAGTACGTGGACTGTAATAATTTATTATCAATTTGTTAAGGTTAACAACTGTTATTCTTATCATTTCGGTTTACTACGAAATATGTGTAAAAAACAGCTGCTACTACAGACTAGACAAATGACCTGGATTGTTTTGTTTTGGAAAGATTAGATTAATAATATTTTGTTGTTATTATTGCGAATTGTGATTGTGAACTGTAAGCATAACAAAAAGTAAGTTCCTTTTTATTGACATTTACAGTTAAAATTTACAATTTATTTTATTGTGGATGTTAAGTAAATTATTTGTGTAGTCTTTAGTAATTATGTTATAAGTTAAATACTAAGGAAATACATTTTATATAAACTATACAGTATTACAGTACCTTAGTCAAACAATTACCGATGCAGTGAGTTATATTATTTATGTAATTTGACTATATACTTTGGAACGCTATTACAATTCTAATAAGGTAACATCATAGCAGGTTTAAATCCATGGATAGTTTAATTTTTGGTGGTAAATATAATAACAAACTATCTTTAAGCTCCGTTCACACGATCAAATAATTTGTCAAGTATTTGACATTCGTCAAACTCCAAATATTTTAGAACCATTTCTAAAATAATTGAAATTTGACATACATCAAATATTTGACAAATTATTTGATCGTGTGAACGGGGCTTTAAGAAAGAAAGTTTGTGAATTTAAGACTGTTATGATATGAACAACATTACCATGTACCTAAATATAGTATAATATAATAGTATGTATAATCTACAGACGGAAATTAATTTTTTGTCTAAATTCAAGAATCAATAAATATATTCTGGAGGGCCAAATATTTTTATTTGTATTTTCTTTTTTATTAATTTATATTTAATATTTTGATGCATATTTTTATCAAAATAAAAATTGGATAGGTACATTTTTTTAGGTGTGCCCTGTTGTGCCTGTAGTTAATGTATATGTATTACAAATAAAAGGCATTAGATATTTATTTTAAGTAATTAATAAATATTAAGTATATACTATATATATGCTATAATATTGCTAAGCAATATAACGTATTAACATATTATTATGTCAATATGTGTCAAGAGGTTTCCATTTTATTTGAGTTTATTTAACTACTTAGTTCTCATACTCAAATATTTTTGTTAATGCATTGTTCATTATATAAACAATATTTTCTATTTTTTCAGATGGTTTTCATTTAGATTTTTATTTAATTGGAGGCAACAAACATAATATCTTATCAAATACTATAACATTACATTTAATATTGTTAACTAAAAAGAAAAATGTCTTTTCAATCATTAGACCTTCTTCTTCAACAAGCAGATGCATCGGAAAATAAAAATTTTACAAAAAAAACAGACAAGATTAATTTACAATCATCATTTGGTCTAAATGATTTAATGTTTGATGACAATGAGTTATTTTCTTGTGACCAAAACATTGCATCTTCAATGTCACAACTACATCTTAACAATCAAGTGACTGGAGAATGCCAAAATATATCAGATTATATAAGCAAACATTTATCATTGTTATCTACGGATGAACCTAAACTTTCAGTTGTGAAAAATGCGAATAATATTGAACCAAACCTACCTCTTTCTGACATAAAAAGTGCAAGTTTCATAATTAATACAAAATGTGAAGATAAAACTACCTCTGAGCCAAATCTAAAAAAAAAAGGTGGCTGTATTAAAAAATACAAAATATTCCGTACTAAATCATTAGCAAAGGTTCGGAAGTCACCTTTAGAAAAACCAGATTCAGGTTTAAGCTTAACTTTGGGACGGAAATACCCAAAATCAAGTTTAAACTTAATGAATAATTATCTCTGTAATGTATTAATCGAAACGCGAAGCTGTGGGTTCAGATTTAATACACCTTCTCCAGACGAATTAGTGTTATCTTGGATGGATATTGTTAGACAAATGCCCAATAAATAACATTTTCAATGGTAATGAGCTCTCAAATAAATTCTTTGTAATTTTGATACTGTTAAATGTATTACTTTGACAAATCGACTACAAGTTATTGAAAAAAATGAAAATGAATGATGAATAATATGGACATTTGGAAGGTCATTACATAATTTACATTCAGTTATTTTTTAGAATATCTTATAAATGTATATATACTTATATAGATTATAAACGAACATTTTGATTTGTTAGTTTAGTTACCTACATAAATAAATACCAAATATAAATTACCAACCAATTTATCGTTGAAATTATTGTTAATTTAAAGGTATTTATATTTTAAATAAATATATTTTAACCACGATAGGTATATTATATGATTTTAACTATACAGTTTTAAAATGTAGTCTTATATTGCATCATATATAATTATAATATATATGCGAGGTAGGCCAATCTAAAATAATTGATTCAATATTTTATATAAACCTTCCTTGAATCATCAAAATCGGTCGATAATTAAGTTTTTATTAAAAAATAATTACTATGTATAATATATAAATAATAATTTTACTCAGCTACTGAAGTATGTGGCATAGCTAGGGACTCAATAACTGTAGATAGAACCATTGATTATAAATACTAGTATTTATAATTAATGGTAGAATTTTGAGAGTTTCTCTAAGATATCCTAATTCCTAATGTGTTATAGGTTAGGTACACTTATGTCTTATACAAACATTGTAGGGATTTTAAACTTATTCATTTTTGTTTATATAATTGGAAATAGTAATAATTTATGATAGTAAGTTTAAACAATTTTTATTCATGATAAACTCTCTCATCAAAATGGAGAATAGATTTTCACTCAATCATGTTACTATGATTTACAATACTCGACACTCGTAGTAAAATAAGCTGTTGGCTATGTTAAACACAGCGGTAACCATGCTCAATAATATTTTCAAAAAAAATTTCATAATGTATAAAATTATAAAATAAGAACAACACTGTAAATTGTATTTTATTATAACATTGGCATGTAGAAAAAAATTATACTCTGTCAATGTGTTCAAAACATATTGTTCTAATTGTGTGGTGAAAAAATAACTCATTTATAGCTGATCCCCTGTAGTCCTATACTATGTCTGTATGCGCGCAAGCTGCCCTTTCGTGGTATATTCTATTATTTTTATAAACATGTATATTTATGAATTATATAATTATGTTTTTATTTATTCAAAATCTAAATATAAAAATTGTATAAAATTTGTTAGTACAATAAATCTATTTTTTCTAAAGAAGTTGTTTTACAAATTATTGATAATTTAAATTGTTCCTATAGTTACTACCAGAAGCAGATTCAAACAATTAGCAACAAAAGAAATTTGCAACCCTTAAAAATTTGCCAAGTAAGATAACCATGATAAACTAACAATTTTTATTAAAGTTTTGTCAGCTCTTAGGCTACTCAATTAAACCTTTAAATTTACCATTCGTAAGTTATTAATATTAATTAAAAATATAAGAATTGGCGCAAACAAAATGAGTTAATAAAATTTAAAAATTTTCCAAAATGCTTACCTTTTATATATCACGGCAATCCTTATTTCAATCTGAGGTAATTGGGCAAAGATATTTGTGGTACATATTAGACGGGACACACTGTTTTTAAAAAATTCTAAAAATCAGAATTTGAATACATGTATTGTTAAATGAAAAATAGTGGTGAGCCAGGAGCAGTGTGCATGTTTGGTGAATCACGTTACATATTATTGTAATAGTAAAGTCCGAGTAATAATTAATATTCAATAATGTGAATATCTAATTTTTATTTCAGTTTCTATTAAGTGAAAAGCTGTGAAGAATATTACGATATATAATTTATTAAGATAATATTATACATTTGGTTTTTATTTTTAATATTATAATTTATAATGATCGGAATGTTGAAATTTAATTTTGGCGGTCCAATAACAGTGTACACCGCGCCGCAGTCGCAAAATAACGTGTGTCGGAACGTATTGTTCTGTGGCCGCACAACAAGCTCACATTGGCAACACTGTCATAATATCCGAAAGTTGAAAACGTTTCGTTCGTGTTGTTTACATGTTTTGGATTTTTTTTTATCGTTTCTCAATTCTTCTCCGTTTCTCGGGCTTAATAGTCTTATACCTACTTATTTGTTTTACTATTATTATTACTATTATAATGTGACCCTAAACATATTGCAACGCGTCAACGCTACATAAGTACACAACCGAATTCTTCACTCGTCCACTGTAGCCTTTTTCGATATCTTTTCTATGACTATTGACTGCAGCTGTGTCTTTATTGGACCGATTTTCCGATCTACCTTCATTGAGCTTCTCCGGCCGGCGAGTCTTATCGATGGGTGAGTTTTCACGATTTTTCTCGTTGCTTCATTCTACCGTTTTCCAAGTCTCAGGCGTATGAATATATAAACAAATAATTTCGTCAAAAGGTTCAGGTACAACTGAAATCGAACACTGTGGCTTGAACGCGTGCTACTAGTTCCATTATGTCGGTCCATTACAAGTTCAAATCCGCCATTTCTTACGATACGATCACGTTCGATGGTCTCCACATATCTGTGAGAGATTTGAAAAAGGCCATACTTCATCAGAAACAGATCGGTAAGAACACGGATTTCGATCTACAGGTCACCAACGCCCAGACTAATGAAGGTAAGGCTAACAACAGTGTATCTATATAGGTACTGTGTAATAATTATTTTATGCCTGGGTGTAAAAATTAACCATTTTTCTGACCAATATTAAACTAGTTCAGGCGATGTATTACTCTAAATGTAAAATAGTTTAGTCTAAAAACAATATTACTTATAATCATAATTTGTGTATCATTTGTGTTAAGGGGGTTAACTATATTTATGTCTGAACTTTTTTGTTTTAAATGTTAATGATTCAATATAGGTAAACTTAGGTATCTATTATATTTTTATATTTAAAATGTTAAACCCCTAGAAGTTCTTTAAGATATGATTAAGCTTTGTAATAATTACTTCTAACCTCATTCATAATTCTATATTTTGTATTCAAAAACAGAAATTTGATGGAAAAATTGTTTTTGGGTCCTCTGATGATTTTGTAAATCTTAGGTGAATTATAAACCAAGAAAAAATTAATTGTATCATTCTCTTAATAGTTGATATTATGTACCTACATTTTACCTTATATTTTTTTTAAAACAACTAATGATAATTACTGTTTCCTGGCTGTTAATAATGTAATTTGATTATATAAATAGTGAAAATTAAGTATTTTATTCACATTTTAATTATTTGTGGTTTAATTTTTAGTTATTTCAATAAGACACAGATAAAAAGCAATAGGGGTACAAAATATTAACTACGAATTAGTATTATGTTACATTATGCATACATAATAAACCAAATTTTAATAATCCTAAATTATTGTTTTAGAATATACTGATGACCAAACATTAATTCCAAAAAATACGTCATTAATTGTTTCAAGAATACCACTTACAACACAACAAAAAAAAGCATGGTATGTATTACTTTTTTCATTTCATAATAAAAACTTTAAGTTGTATGATAAGTTAATTATTTGTAACTATAACTTTTATAGAACTTAAAAGTATTATTTAATAATACAATTTTAATTTGTCTCAAGTACATTTATGTCATGTGTTGGAAGGAAAGACGTTAATTCACAGATTTGAGCTCAAATTTAATTTCATCTTTTTAATTTGTATATATATGTATCTAAAGTACAATCACTAAATATTGAAACACTGTAATGTGTTACAACCCATAAATTATGCAAATATATGCCATTCCTATGTAGGACATACAAACCATATTATCTACATATACATTGTACGTCAATATAAAGCATTAAGATGTAAAATCCACATATTGTACTTTGAAGTACGTTTTCCCTGCAGTATCTGGACGCGGGGCGGCTAGTGTCACTACCTGTTCGGACATAGGGTGGTGTTCAACGCGGCCGTGCTGTTCAGTGTTTGGCGCTGCAAAGAAACCATACCTTAAGTCTTATAAACACTTAACATAACAATTTTTCTTATAGCCAGTCTACTTTTATGTTCACTTTAATATTAGAGTGAATTAATCTATAATCAAACTTAAGAGGATGTCAGCGCACCATTTGTTTTCTCTCTCTGGCCCACGCGCAGCATAGACAAAACGCATGTACGCAGAATCATTTTTTCTATGTTTTAAGTAATCTTAGAGTAAAATCAGCTTTTACAAAAAAGATAGAGAATAATATTTTTAAGGGAATGTCATATCCATTTTATATTTTATTGTTATTTGACTTTGTATTAGACTTTCAAAATAAACAAAAAGATGTTGTACATTAAAATGATGTTTAAATTGTTTTGAGACAATATTTAGACAAATCGATATGACATTCCCTCAAAAATATTATTCTCTATCTTTTTTGTAATAGGTGATTTTACTCTAAGATTACTTAAAAACATAGAAAAAATGTTTCTGCGTAAATCCGTTTTGTCTATGTTGCGCGTGGGTCAGAGAGAGAAAACAAATGGTGCGCTGACATCCTCTTAATGGTATTTTACATTCTCTTAACTTGCTTAAAAATTTAAAAACCTTAATAGATTAACTAGAGATAATGTCCTTACCATTAAGTTTGATAATTGGTCGATTTTCTCTTATATTAAAGCTAACAACATCAAATTGGAACTGCTGAATACAAATTTGCTATGTTGTACATTTTAAAGAATGATATAAGTATAACACATGTGGCTGTGTTGTTATCTTAAGAAAGTACTCTACCTTTGAACTTCAAGAAGCTTTATTTTCCTGATAAATTTATCCAATTTAAGACATCTTTAATTGTGTACACCTATTTTAGTCCAGTTCTAAAATAGGATATGTAGGTACAAGGAATTTCCAAATGATTTAAATCATGAATTTTTCACCGTTTATTGTTGTCTTGTTGATAAATTATTCAAACTTTAGTCTTTATCACTGAACTAAATACATGGAATGCGTATTATGTTTAATTCTCGTATATGTAAAATGAGACGGAAGCCGCCATATGCATTCCAATTTGATTTTTAACATTAATATTGTGAAGATGATAACAATTTTCATAGATAACATATCATTTCACCATGTTTTCCCTAGACTCGGAATGCATATAACGACTTCTTATGAAGCTCATATTTTGAATAATGCATAGGTTCCATGTATTTAGTTCAGTGGTATTTATACACACCTAACATTTTATATACTTCAGTTAAATTTCAAATGGGTAATTTACATCAAATAACAGCTTGTGTTTTTTTTTTTTAGGGAAAGAGCCGAACAAAACAATCAATTAGTCCTTTCAAAACAGGTATATCTTATATAATATACTTAACTATTATTCTTTGTTATGTATAATTTATTAATTTGACATTTTAATTTAATAGATATTAAATTTAGATTCACATGAACCAGATTCTGCTAAACTTAAGGTAATATATTTTTTTAATTCAAATGTATAGTTAAATTGAAATAATAATTTTGAAATTCTATAGGGTGCAGATTTACTTGGTTCTAATGCAAGCGAAGAAGATAAAATCAATGCTATGATGGCACAATCTACACAGGAATATGATCCATCTAAGTAAGATTATAATTGAAATAAAATATTTAATTATCATAGAAACAAAGAATTTTTTTATAAAATTTAAATAGATAGTCAAATCATATTCAAAATATATTTTACTATGTCTTATTTTTGCATCAAATTTTGAAGAAATCCTTGGCGCCATCTACATTTTTCTTTACTTGTCATTGTGTCCTGGATCTCTTTCATCCATTCCTTCTAAATTGATAATTTTATATTATCAACCTTATAAACGTTGGCTTACTGGCAAAACTCATTAACGGCAAAATTTCAATTTTTTTTTTTTAAAGCTCTTAAATTGAGCTATATTTGTTTTTTTTTTAGTTTTTTCAATATTCATTATTATTGTATTGTTTTATTGTGTTGTAAGAATTCATTAAACCGTTAATGTGATAAGTTTATGTGATATTAAACAAATGTAATATGCTTTTGTATCATAGGAACTAATATAAACAAAACCCTAGAGAAACTTCAATTATTTAAAACGCTATTTACCAACAATTTCATTTTTACCGATAATGAGATTTTGCATGAAGCCGACGATAGGTATCTTTCTTTTCTGCTTTCCTGAAGGTTTTTAGTTCAATGTTTAATTTATTATGTACCTACAAAAATTAATTTAATTTTTAATTTTAGCTTTGTGAAAATTCGTGGTGGAAATCAATATGGTGAAGTACCTTTAAATTATGTTTGTTATCGTTGTCATAATCCTGGTCATTGGATAAAAAACTGTCCTAACAATAATACAACTGCAGTAAGATCAATAATATTTATTACTATAATTATGTTTAGATCTAATATAATTAATTTTCTTTTTAGGATCCAATTGACATTAAAAAAGCTACGGGCATTCCAAGAGGATTTTTAGTACCGGTTGATGGTCCATCAGTTCCTGGAGCAATGTTAACTGGTTTGGGTACATTTGCAGTTCCCAGCATTGATCAGTATGTATTTTAAGTACAGTGTATTGATTCATTAATTAATGTTTATTTTATTTTAGGGAAGCTTATAAACAAAGTATGAAACCACAAAAAAAACAGGAAACTGAAGTCGAGAAAGTAATAATTCCAGAAGATTTATTATGCACGTTATGTTCTGATTTATTAACAGATGCAATTATGATGCCATGTTGTGGTACATCGTTTTGTGATGAATGTAAATACATTTTTTTTTATTTCAGTTTTTTTAATTTGAAAAAAAAAAGTATTTACTATTTATCAATTCTAGGTATTCGAAATGCTCTTTTAGAATCTGAAGAAAACGAATGTCCAGACTGTCATGGGAAAGAAATATCACCAGAAACTTTGATACCAAATAGATATTTACGGAATGCTGTAAATGGTTTCAAAGATAAAACTGGCTATAGTAAGCGTATAGAAGCGGCAAAAGAAAAAATAACTCAATCTAAAGAGCCTCAAGCATCAATTCCCAAAATAAATATTCAACCGCCAAAAGAAGGTAAGTTAAATGTTATTAATTTCATTCCATTCTCCAAAGTGGAATGTTTTCTTTATCATACCTTTCACTTTTTCTACTTTCTTAACCTTTTATTTATCCAATTTTCCAATTAAACTTTTTTAATTTCGACTTTAATCTGGATTTTGAAAACATCAAATTAAAATCTGGATTGTTTATTTTTTCATTTAATGAAAATTATAATTTATGCTTCTAACGAACCAAATGTTGAAGATTAATTTAAAATATGAAATAACATAGTTTATGCTATATGATTACAATATAGTTTTATAAAGTTTAAAAAATAAAACTCAATTTATATATTTTGTTGAGAAATTGTAAACTTTTATGTACTTACTACAACGCACATTTGGCATTTGATATGATTTTTGTAAAACTAAATGCAATTTAAATGTTGGTAGCTTAATTCATTGCTTAATAACAGGTTACTATCTTGGTTATATTTGATTTTTAACATTGTATACATGATTACAGTTTTTTTTTTTTTCATAGTTCCAACACATTTTCCAGCAGAAATATTAATTTTATATGTTAGTACGTTACTACTTGCAAAAGGAATCCTAAGTATAATATTCTTTAACACTTTCATCCTGGGTCCTATTATTTTTGGTCCTATACGTTTCTTATTACTCTCCAAATTATTTACATATATCATATAGATTTTAACTTTCAGAAGTGATCATTCCAGTTAGCACCCAATCACCACCGTCTGATCCTTCAATTGAAGAATCCAAAGATGAAATTTATCAAAAAATCGCTGCTGTTGGTGACCCAATTGATAAAACCCAACATAACTACTCTGCAATTGGCACAATCAATAATAATTCTCATAATCATTCTACATTTAAAACCAGTCAACCCCAAGTTCAATCCCAAGTTCCTCCAGTGTCAGTGAACAATAATAGTCGCCCAAATAATACAAATGTTTACATACCTGTAAATCCTTTTCAAAATACGCGACATACAGTTACAAAGTCTACAGATAATCGTGGACAACATATTGCACGTTACAATTCTCAATCTTTATCTATCCCCCCTCACCCTCACATGCGCCCTTGTTTGCCCGTAGGACCCGCAGATATTTCAGTACCACCACCTCCTTTTGCTCATCCGCCTCCATCGATACAATCTGATGGCTATAATCAAATGCAACCGTAAGTTACTTTATTCAGTTATATAAATATTAAATTTTTCAAAAGTAAACTATCAAGTCAAATGTTTGTTTTAGAATTCATAATCCTCCACCACCTGGATTAGATAGAAACAATAGCCCAGCTAATGCTTCATCAGATGAAGGAATGCATCCTCCTGAGTCCAACCGTCATCAAATGGATAAATTCGATAACCAAACTGGACCTCATCAACCAATGATGAGAACAGGCTATCCTCCTGGTAAATATTATCTATGATATTTAATTTGTGTGTGTAAAATGTTTATTTTATAATTAAGTCTATTAATTATATTTTATAGGTTACTATCCACCACCACCCATGTCTAATTATGATCCATATAATATGCCTGTCGATATGAGAAGTCGAGGTTACCATCGAGGATATAGTAGAAGACCAACTCGTGGACAGCCAATGGGCTCTAATTATCGTCCTGATTATCGTAATGGGGGAAATTATATGAAGTAAGATTTTAATAGCGAATGTAGAATTGTTATTTGTTTATTTAAATTAACTATATACCTATTAATTATAATACATATTTAAAATATATAGTATATTTATTTTTAGTATTTAAATGTTCTTAAAATACTAAAACTTGCGTTAAACTATCAAAAGTTCTAAATTTATGTTGTATTGTTTTAGTAATAAAAGAACTATAGATGATCCATTAGCAGTATTTCAGCGAATACTTCGAGAGCGTGATAGTAAACGTCGGGATATGAGAGTTCGTCATTCTATGTCCAGATCTCGATCTCGATCTTTATCTCGGTCTAGGTCTAGGGAACGCTCTCGTAGTCTAAGTCGTTCACCATCAAGGATTATGAATCATAGAACACGATCAATATCAAGGTAGTTAAATATAATTAATTATTATTATATCATTATACATGACGTATAATTTTGTATGGTCATTATAGATCACCTTTACTACGTAATAGATCAATAACTCCTAGACGACGTAGCCGAACACGTTCTCGTAGTCCTGTAAGAAAACGCAAGAAGAGTTTGTCTCCTGTAAAACGTTTACCAGTTAAATCAAGGAGAAGAACTCGTAGTCCAAGTCGTGATGTGCAAGGACGAAGATCCAGATCTTTATCTCTACATCGAAGGTAAAATTAAATCACTTTATTACATTAATCTATACTTGTATTTAATTACTTTATACTTTGTACATATTTAATTATAGAACTCGCTCAAGATCTCGATCTCTAACTAACAGAAACCGAATGTCACCATCACCTCGTTTCAGATCAAGATCTCCATCTTTTTACTCTTCACCCGCTAGGTATACATTTTTTGAATACAAATTAGTATTCTGTAGTTAATTAATATTCATGAGCGCAACTATGGTAAAACATATAAGGATGCAAGGGACCAAACATTTGTACATTCATCTCTGATTATTGAATTAAAATAATTACATCTCCCTCCCTCTTAGTACAAGAAATAGAATTAAAAATATTCAAATTTCAAAATAATAGTTTTATGTGTATTATATTATTATTTTTTAATAAATTATCGTTCTGGACTCATAATTATAACAAGTAAAGAGGTTAATATAGTTCAATTAATATGCATTAAAAAATTAATTGACTAAGCTATAACAGTGCCTAGTATTTGTTTAGTACTGAAATAATTATTATTTTAAATTCATCCTAAGTCATACAATAATACGAGAGCTGTTTTTAGTTAAATAAAAATAAATACTGGATATAAATGATAACCATTAATTGCTTATAGTTTACATAAATATTGTATCATTGAATGGAACATTCAACGTATTATTAAATATTTATATCAACTATAGTTTATTAGTATAATATGTTTAAGAGGGTGCCACATTCTTCACCCATGTGTTGTTTCCGTCATACAAACGCGTTACATACCAAAATTACGCTCAGAAATTCACGTTTTATGCCGTTAGCTTCAAAACTAGAGTGAATCGACATATTATGAAACGTTCTCGTTTGATAATTCAGTTTTTATTGAGTTATACGTACGTATAACTCACTCAAAAACTGAATTATCGTAAAAAAACTTTCAACAAAACACAGATAATGTTCCTACCATCAAGTATTATAATAGTGAATTATTGAAATCTATACATATAAAATCTAAATATCACTGATCGCTGTATCTCAAAAACTATGCAACATACGGACTTGAAATAGAGGTTCTTCTCATATTTTCACCGTGCAATAAGAAAGGATTTGCCGAAATTCGCTTTTTAAATAGGTGCTCAAACAGGGACATTGTGGTTCAAGATGGAGATTTGAAATTTTATTTTTGTTTATTAATAGTTGCCATTGGTTACAGTCTACAGTAGAAATTAGTATTTATTTATTATTGGTGGCAATTGGTTATTCGGGCAGATCAGGTACAAGCTTGCATCAAATCAAATTATTGAACATTGCCTACCAGGGTGGCTGAGTTGCACTTACCGCAGCAAGGTACACCCAAAAAAAGTTGAACAATCATAATTTTTTTAAGAGTTGCGATTTTTTACGGGCAGCGAAGTGCACGGGTTCAGCTAGTAAAAATATAAACATGAATTTATGAGCTTAAATTTGGTATGTTACATGTTTTTAAGACGGAAGAGTGTATTTTTTTCTATCTATCATCTTTTGGAACAGTAAAAATGCATTAATATTCAACTTTGAGAGTATTTGATGGTAAAACATTGGTTCTACTTAGTTTTATATGAGGGGGCGGGGAAGATCAAAATTACAAGATTCTTGCTGATTTTTTTTAAAGTTTAAAAAAGTAGCAAAAACTTGTATTGTAAAAGCAAAACCAATATTTAACAAAAATTGATTTTCTTATCTTGTTGCAATTCAAAAACGAATTACTATAGATACTTCAAATTGTCACCAAAATATTATGTTATGCCATTATGGTATAATTTTTCTTATTAATTTAACTCTCATCTATTTATAGGTATTTTAAATTTTCTATAATTGTCGGTAACAACATTTTAGGTAATTCAAAAAGCTTTAAAATGTAATACAAAGTTTCTCTTAAATTGTTATTATAGATATTATAATGTATATTAAAGATGGAAAGATGGTTGCAATTTTTTTTGTAAACATTTGAATATCAAATTTTTATGGCTAAGGATTAAAGGTTGAAATTAGATACTTCAACAAAGAATTAATTATATTATAAAGTTATTTTGTTGTAATTTAAAAATATTATTCGTGGGTTCTTACAACTCTTAACATATATTATATTTACACATAATGACATTTTCAATTGTAATAAATTAGTTCAACCTACTGTATAATTAATAGTACCATAGTTTACTTTAATGCCAATATAAATATATTTAGTGATGTAGACAGACCATCTTCACTCAGAATCATTTTTCATTTGGAGTATCATTGAATTTCAATTTAACACATACATTACAGTGACTCTCAACCCACTAGACACGTATTGTACAACAGAGCAGTGTTACCTACTTTCCCACTTTTTATGTACCTTCTTTGTAATATTAAAATGGGTATAAAAATATATTTTTAGTAAATATTTTTCAAATAAAATATAAGTTAGAATTAAATTAGCTAATCTATATCTCACTTTTATGTGCGCTTATGCAATGTGTCTTTAATTTAATTTTCATATTCTAGTACTTATATAATTACTATATTTATTATTTTAGATTTAACAATTATCACAGAGAAGATGAAAATTTTGGACCTAAGGGTGGAAATTGGCGTGGTAGAGGCACCTGGAACAACAAGGGAATTTCACAGCCGTACCAACAATCACACAGGTACAGTTTTGTTGTAAATGTTTTTGCAGTATCTAGTACCGATAGTGAGTTCATATTCGAACACTGTAGATTACCACAAGAAGGAAACCCAATTAATCATTATTGCCAACATGAATTTTTTTAATTCAAAATTTTATTAATTTTCAACTATCTAATTATTTATCAGCTAATATCACAAATATTTTATTAGGTGTTGTTATTTTTTTTTAATTTTTTTTAATTCGTTATTTTTTAAATTTATATGAAAATGTTATTACCTACTCAAGAATCGATTCTGTGATAAAAATATATCTTTATGTTTTTGTAAATCTTATGAATTATTTAGTCCAACAGAATATTCATTGCCAATTGTTTTGTTTTATTTTTATTCTTTGATCTACTAGCTACTTAATTTGTAGTGTAATTTTTGGTGTGTAAATATAGAATATTATAAAGGATTGTATAAAACATGCATTTTAAAACTTGAAATCTTATACATTTTAAATACCTACCTAAGTTTTCATTAAAGATTTTATTTGTTTATTCCAATAAACGAACACTTATTAGAGTGTATAAATAATGTTTACAAATGAGTCAAGTTAAAAAAGCTTCTTTAAACAAATATAATAATACTTTGCTAGCCAACAGTCATACTTAGAATACTTGAAATATGAGGTGTCAGTATAACATATTAAATATGGCGTATGTCAAATGAATATGACTGATCTATATTTTATTTATTATCAATTAATTATTGTATACTATACATAGTTTACAAATATGAATTTAATAAAATTATAATAATTAATAAATGCATTAAAATAGTACATCCTATGTAAACAATAACTTTGATTTTGATTCTGGGCAAAACAAGGAATGGATTTTTCAATGTTTATTTTCTATAGCACTTAAGTTATCATTATGGTTAGAAACTTGTTGTACTAAAAATTGAAATATGCAGTCGTAATCTTCAAAATATGCATCTAATTTTTATTATTTTTTTGATAAAACACATTAAACATATTACAAACTTAGCAAGGCCGTATATGAGGGGGGGGGGGTTCCCTAAATATTTTATAGTTAAAAAAATTTAATTTATGTAACTTAATTATAATAATTTACCATGTGGCAATGTGGGTATACCTAATAATATGATAACTATATTATACATAGATAAGTCACACACTATTAAAGATGTTTTGTTGTCGGACGCAAAACGTCTATAATAAGTACTTAATAATATATTATTATCGAACAATAAATTATCGCCTGTATTGCCATTTTATCTCGAAAAACCTCATTGTATCGTCAGTACATACAGAAAAAGCATTATTAATAATTTTGAATGTTTATAATATTATCATTTTCTATACACCATAACATTTTTAAAATATTTTGATTTATCTTAAGCTGTTTACAGACATTTTCAGTTTCCAATTTTTTTAGGTTTTTTTTCTATAGATGACTATAAAATTATATTTGTTGGGTAAAAAAGCTTGAAAATTTAATACAAGTCTCCTAATTTATTGTTCCAATGACCTTTGAAAAATATTAAAAATCCGTAGTCACAATTTTATTTTATAAATATTTAAATTTCATATATTGACAAAATACGTAAAAATCACAAAAATGTGCAAATTATTTTGAGTTAGAAATTCATAAAAAATTTTCTTTTTAAATCTAAGATTTGAAAATATAACACAAGATTTATCTTAAAATTACCTACCTCTACCGAAAAAAAATATCTTATATCAACTCAAATCCAATTTTTATGAGCGTTTTAAGTACATATATTTACAACATTGGATATTCACTCAATTTCTAATGTAGCAATTTTCTTATTTTGTTATAATTCAATAATGAATAACTGTAGATGCATGAAAAATTAACTAAATGTTAATATTCTCATTCTCTTCTCACTATACAATTTTGAAAATAGTTTGACTCGTTTTGAGCTATTTACAGACATTTTTAGTTTTCAATTTTTTTAGTTTTTTTTTCTATAATTGTCAATTAAATTTTGTTTGTTGGGTAAAAAACCATGAAAATTTACTCCAAGGCTCCTGTTATATTGTTAGTATAGTAATTGGAAAATAATGAAAATAAATAGCACAATTTTTTTTTGAAAGCATTTAAAGTTTAAATGTTGACAAAATTTATCAAATTTAAAATTTAAAATTATTTTGTAGTTAAAAATGTATAAAATGCTCAAATTTTATAGCTAAGGATTGAAAAATTAAAACAAGGTTCCGCGTAAATAGGTTATAACTTATAATATATTAATAACTTTATTTACAATAATATCATCAAATATTATACTTAGTAATATCATAGGTAACCTAACCGGCTCAGAACTGTTTTTCTTATACAATGATATTATATCATTTAATTCAAATTTAACACAATCCATTACAATGACTCACTTGTAACCTTCTGTACAGCAGAGCGACACCCACTTACCCACCTTTTTTTTTTTTTTAATTAGGTATCTACAATGAAAATATTATTTGAATTAACCCATAATTGAATAACAAATAACATCATATTCAATCATTGTGATAAACGAACATTTACTAAATTTTATTTCTTCATACAATTTAGAATCTAGATGTCTTAGCCCAACTATTTTAGGTTAGAACCACCGGATATTTAGGATCACAAATAATATTGTCTCTTGTCTTAACAAATTGTATCATAATTGTTCAAATTCTCAAACACAAAATGACAAACAAAACTAATTTTATTGTGCTGGTGAAAAGGTAATTTTCCTAAACACATTGTGCTCATAATAATTGCTTTATTAAATTTTTAAATGGTAGAAGGTAAATTGATTTATTCAGTCAATGTCTTATTGTCTTGTCCTTAAAATTTTTTTTATTTTATTATTATCTTTATTTTATTTATATCCATATACATATACAACCTTAGAAGCTATATACAATTGTATTGAACAGTAAACTGTGTTGTAAGGCAACCCACAGAGTTAGCAGTTCACTATATTTATATTAATAAAGTTGTTTATATATATAGAAAAAATAGTCTGAATTATTGCATAATATTGAATAAAGATGGTACATACAAAATCATATTTTTTAATTTACTAGTTGATAACCAATTTTAAGATAAACCAAGCTTACACTTGAAAATATTTTTTTTAATAATTTATCATTGAAAGAGGGAAGAGCAGATTATACAGGCTCTAGTACTCATTAATTCATAATTGTCTTGTGCTTATCTTTAGTTGGCATTTTAAGTATTTTAACCTTGTAAAATTGATTTTAAAATTATTACAATGACTATTGGTGATCATCGTATTTAAAATAAATATTGTATCTACCACAATACTAATTTTCTGAAATTTCAGAAATTTCTTTTTAAATATGAGGTTTATGACCATTCTCTATATTTATCCAATCCATACATTTTTAATATGGCAAAATCATAATATACCATTCAGAATTTATGCATTTTATATTTAAATTAAATTAACCTAACCATTTGCCATATACATTATACATACAACAATTGTTGACATCTATTCAATATTTAAATATGTATTGTTACACTAAAGAATAATAAGAGAGACAAAAGCGAAGAGACATTTGCCCTCATCACTCTTGTTTTTTCTAGATGATACATTGATTTATTTTAAAACTATAATCACTAGGTCCATGTAAATACTAGACTGGGGCAAATTCCCCAGTTGCCCCCCCCCCTCCAAATGACGCCACTGGTTAACAACTTTTTTGGTGATTCCTAAATAATTTGGGTTGGGTTATGTATGTTGTCGTTTAACACCCATTTACTTTGAGTAAATTTGAATTATGAAAAAAGTTAATTGAATATAAATTGATTAGGAAATTTAGATGAGTGTCCTATTTTTACACAAAAAAAATAAATTATTATATTTGTTTTATTTTAAATTTAACATATTGATCCTTTCTAATTAAAATTTTTCTTCAACTTTTTAATGAAACTCAAAAACAAACAAAATTTATATCATGATTATATAATAAAAACTGTTGGTAAATGTTGGAAAATACAAAATAATACACATTCTAATAGAAATGGTTTGATTTATTTTTAAATTTAAATTGTAATTACTACATTTTTATAATACCTACTACTGTTTTCTAATATTTATTGATTTATGTAATTTGCATTATGTCAATACATAATAAAGTTATTTTTGTTTTACCTACTTGTGGTTTTTACATCTTTTTTTATAGACATACCTAGTTATAATATAATAATAATAATAATAATTGTAAACTGTAAACTGACTGATTAAATAATTATACCTATGTTTTGTATATGTGTATATTATTTTATATTATATTTTTTTATATAATATATATATTTTGATTTAATATATTATGTGATTCACTGTATAATGTTTTATGGTTTATTAGTAATAATTAATCTTTTTATTGTATCTGTGATATTTTAAGCTGTGATAAATGTGTACTTTTTTTAAAATTATATTTGATGAATTTTGATGTCCTATTATTGCTAGAATATTATTTTTTATTTTATTCATGTTATTATTATATATTCAAACAAATGTATCTCAGATAAGACTAAGACTATTTATACTAAGACTGATTGTGTAACATAATTTAAAAAATTCTAAGTATGAATCCAATGTAAATTGTATTATGTATTATAATGGATTTTTTTTATTCATAACTATAAAATGTTGCTCATACATAAACATTTCATATATTCATGATAATCTTATTTTATGATTTAAATAAAATGTGGTTAAATTTTACATTGATGGTTTTTGTAAATTGATACTTTAATTCAATATTAAGAAATTTGCATTATCATTACAAAAAAAATTGGCATTAATTACTAATTAACAATAATTATATTACGATGAAGTTGTGTACGGTTCTACTTTTATTACATTGTTATAATGCTATTAAAATATAATATGCTTTTATTTTACAGGTACTTTTTACAATTGTACTTCATATTCTTGTTGTTTTTTAATAGTTTAAATTGTTATTTTTATTAAATATTTTGTAATCATTTAAATTATAACACTTGAATGAAGCTATATTAATTTGTGTAGGCTGATTTTTTGTAAATTTTTTTTATGTTAAATAATATAAATTTTATAAGCACTTTTAAATTAATCTAAATTTATACTATACAATTTCTGTATTATTGTATTATATGCTTCGATAGCCATTTATATACTAAGAAACTATTAAAAATTATTAATAATATATTTAATCTATTAGTTTCTTTTAACTATTTTAGTAATCGTAGACTATGCAATTGTTTTTCCAAATTAAGTTTTCCTTTAACATAGTAGCCGCATGTTTCAAGTGTCCATCGTTCAATAAATAATTTACTTATTATAATTCTTAATGGTTATATGTAATCATAAACATTTTAATTTGTTTATTCTCAACTTTTGAACTATATATTTGATATTTAAATCTGTTAATTTATACACATATTATGAATAATGTAATTCTTAATATTGGACACCTTGAAATATGTCTTTTAAGTTAGAGATAACTCTTAAATGCACTTATTATACTAATAGTAGTTTTTGAGTCATACTAGGTACTCTTGGCTTATGATTATTCAATGTATACTTAAATATACCAAATAAGCCCTTCATCAAACTATCCTTATTACATTTCTTGTTAATAATACTTATCCATTTTATAATCATCTTGTCCTGTCGAAATAATGCAGATGTTCCAGCCAATTTTGGAACCATTTTAAGACAAAAGGTAAATCAAATCAACTTTTCTCTTTTCTAGCCATTTAGAAATAAATCTAAAACTTATGTTAATACTTAAATAATGGCCTAAAAAATCATAGAAGTTTACAGGTACAACAACAGTGCAGTACCTTACACCGAACATTATTCTACATCTTTAGTCGCAAGGATCAAATAAATTCCATACTTTGTTACAACATCCGAATAAATATCAGATAATGCTGTATTGAGTATTGGGCTTCCACGAGTATAAACTAAAAAAATATTAAAATCTTATCATTTTTAGAGACATCTTGGCCTAATATTATGTGAACATTTAAGCCTATTAAAATCTCGAATGAGATTTTTTTTTGAAAATTTTAGATACATTTAACATAGTTTATTAACAAATTTATTTTTGTTTTGTTTTTAACAGGTTTCGTGGGCAATTTGAAGGGCATTACGAAGTAGGCGTTGACCGTTCAACAGATTACACTAACAATTATGCACAATTTGATCCACACTATGCAATGGATCCAAATTTAGTGCGTGATTGGGATGAAATTCGTGACAAAGAGATCCGAGAAAGAGAAAAAGAAAAGAAAGAGGAAGAAGATAAACAAAAAAAGAAATCTAAAAGCCAATCCCCTGTCAAACATCATAAACTTGAAAAACAAAGACAAGAACATAAACCATCTCCTGAAAAGAACCATAAAGACTCAGATAAAAAAGATAAAGGAAAAAGAAAAAAGAAAAAGGACGTAGACTTAGACAAGAAAAAGAAGAAGAAAAGTAGAGAGAAAAAAGAAAAAGATGATGGTAAAAAAGGTGATGAAAAAGAAAATAAAATCAGTGAGGGTGATATCAAACTTGAAATTGAAGGGGCTAACCAAACTAACCAAGAACCAGCTGCTCCCGGAACATCTGAATCGCCACTTCCTTTCGAATCTGTTGCAGTCAAAGAAGAGGTTATCATTAAAAACTTCCCAAATGTCTCAGATGGTCTTTATGGGGACTTAGATGAGGTGGCACCAGTGGACACTAGTTGGGGTAGTTTTAAAATTACTGAAGAAACTGACACTTTTATGAAATCAAAAGAAGAAACTTTGGGAGATACAGTTGAAGAAAAACCAAAAGAACCAGAAGTCTTAGCAGAATTGCCAGAACGATCAAAATGGGAAGTCGAAGAAGATACTAATACTATAGACGATAAATTTGATGTGGAAAAACAAAAAGAAGGAAGCCTTGTAGACAATTCAGAATCCCATAACGATTCTAATCAAGTTTCTGTAACCAATGAAGTATTAAAACGAGCTGAAAACGCTATATTCCAAAAAACTGTTAGAACAATAGATGTATCAGGTAAAAAAACTGTTGTAGATAAATCTGAGGGCATTAAAGATAAAAAACCAGACATAATTAGAGACAAGAAAATTGAATCTGAAAAACATTTAAGTAAAGAGAAAAAACCAGATAGTGTGAAGGAAAGGAAGTCTGAAGTTTCTAAAGACAAAAAAATTGAATATGTAAAAGAAAAGAAAATTGATACTAGTAGGGATAAAAAAGTCGACAATGTCAAAGATAAAAAACAAGATATTGTCAAGGATAAAAAACATGATGTTTCAAAAGATTCTAAAGATAAAAAAACTGATGTCGATAAAGATAAGAGACCTGATGTGAAGGATAAAAAATTGGAAAATGTTAAAGATAGAAAAACTGACCGGGAACGGAGATCTAATGATAAATTATCAGAGACAAAAACAGTACCTGAAAAGTCGTCAAGAAGAGATGAATACGTATCAAAACATAAAGATAAAAAGAATTTAGAATCTGATACTGCAGCAGATTCATTATCTATTCAGAGAGAAGCTAGAAAATCAGGTCATTCTATACAAATAACAATACCATCAGATTTATTAGATGATAAAAAAAATAAAGACGGTGCAAAACGTATATCAGCTAAAGACAGACTTGGTGATAAAGTAGAAGATAAAGATGATAAACATTACAAGTCAAGAAATGAAAAGCGGAAAGTCTCTCGTTCTAGGTCTCCTGTGCGAGTGCATTCTACACTTATCGTTCCAGAGCCACCGCCTAGAAAAGTCAGAGTGTCTCCCAAAACTCGAAGGGATTCATTAAAAAAAGACAGGAATGCTAAAACTGAAAGAACGACTTCTTCTAATCGACCTTCTCGTCGGGACGATGAGAAAAAATCAGTCCAACAAAAGAAAACTGAAACTCGTAGAATAGTAAGGCCAGACGAAAAACATCATCGTACAGTAGAACATAAAAATGTATCCAAAAAAGAAGATCGTTTGGAGAAAAAAGAAGTAAAGAAAAAAGAAGAAAAACGGGAAGAGGTGGTGAAAAAATTGAAACCAAAAGAAAAAGAAACTGAGAAAAAGGAACGTAAAAACCGTCGTCTTGAACCAGACCGTAAAGTGTGTGATGAGAGGTTCGACAATAATGACGAAGAAGAAATAAAAAAATTACCTAAAGATAAAGAATCTGATGATTCAATAAGTAGCTCTAGCAGCTCAAGCTCTTCATCAGATTCGTCACCAGTTCGGTCCAAAAAGAGAAAGAAGACAAAAAAACGAAAGAAGAAACACGTAAAAAAGAAGAAATTAGACAGTAGTTCAGATTCTGATGATTCATCTTCATCTTCAGAGTCTGATGATGCTAACAGTAGTAAACATAAAAAAAAGAAGAAGAAGGACCAGCGTAAACACAAAGTGCATAAAAAACCACTGAAAAAGAAGAAAAAGACTAAACATAGATAGAAAACAAAATCAATTTATCATGTCCAAATATTACGTTTTCTAAAGTCATTGATTGTAAAAATACATATTAATTGTTCTACCTACTCCAATTTTTTTTTTTTTTTTTACTAAATGCCTTTTAGTACATATTTTAATTTAAACTGAGTTTATTCAATTTTACATATTATATCGTTATAAATAAGACGTAACTATGTATAAGTACATCACTTATAACTATTATTATATATATATATTATTTTTGTAAATATGGACGATGACATCATATTATATTTGTGATTATGTTAAAGACATGTTAAATAAATTTGTGTACTAGATAACCATTTTTTCCAATTTTGAACACCAATTTTTCCACTACTTTATTAATAAGTAAAATGGTATGTTTTTCAGATAATATTATAGTACAATATATTATATTTATTTAGATGAGTAGTGATTTTTTTTTAAGTAAGCCACTCACAGTACTTATATGTGTTTTTTAAAAGGGAAGTGTGCAAGTATAGTTAATGTTGCGTCGAGTGTACCTCATTATTGAGTGAGCCGTCGCTATGGATGTCTTATTTGAATTAAATGATAAATCGCGTTGTATATTATGGAAAACATTTTTTGAGCGAAGACGGTCTAATTAGTAATTATTGTTAATTATTCGATGGGAAAGTGTATCTAGTTGGTGCATTCCCAAAAGTTTTCAAATGCGCAGGGAAAAACAGGAATTTTTACGCGAAATCGGTATTTAAGAAAACCGATTTTGGTTTTTCGTGTAACTCTAAAAAAATGAACGTAGATAGGTACATGACATTTTCACTGATTATTTATATTAGCATTTTCTATACAAGATCAAAAATATTTTGATTTGTTGTGACTTGTGAGCTGTTAGCGGACATATTCAGTTTCCAATTTTTTTAGTGTTTTTTTTCTATAAATATCAATTCAATTCTATAATAGTTTAGGCTGAAAGTTCTAAATAAAAAAAAATCAATACAATATTTTCGTTTGGTCAAGAAGCTTAACAATTAAAGGCTCCTAATATATTGTTACAATAAAATATTAAAAATACATATTTATTTAAAATACTTGATAAAATTCTCAAAATATTTTGAGCGTTTTTCAGCTGTTTACGAACATTTTCAAATTTTTTAGTTTTTTTTATTCTATAAATGTCAATAAAATGTTAATTGTTGGATCAAAAAGCGTGAAAACATTAAAAAATAATTAAAAATATGTGGGCACAATTTTTTTTATAAGCATTTAAACTTTAAAGTTCCATTTGTGACAATATTTATTAAATTTTAAAATGATTTTGTAGTTAAAAATGTATAAAATGTTTAACTTTTATAGCTAAGGATGGACAATTTAAAACAAGGTTCAACGTAAGTAGGTACTAAGTAGGTTATTTTGTAACCAAAAAATGTCAAAAATATAAAAACATGGTTATTTTTATAGTTATTTTATGTTCAAATGTTTACGAAATACATATTAAATAACCAAGAATAACGATTTTAGTTATTTTGTAGTAATTGTACAGGTAATATTAATTAAACTTACCTACTACTTTATTAGTTATTAATAATAGATAATAGTAATAACAATATCAAAATAATATAAAATATCCGCACCGACAAACTGTCTCCGCTCAGAATCGTTTTTCGTATGTTATATATATCATTGAATACCATCCATTATACTTGTAACCTACTGTACAGCTGAGCAACATTCACTTACCCACCTTTCTTTTTTAATTCCAGTATAAACAACTTATAGACCTTGGATTAAATGTCCAACGTTTTTGACCAAACGAAACTTTTTTAACTAGGTACTTTTGTGGAGAACAAAATGTCTTTAAATAGCTCAAAAAGATAGTCAAAATAGCGGAGCAATGAATGTATTGATTTTACAATGATACGTGTTTTTACATTTTTTTATTCTTTGTGTGTGTACCAGTGTACACGATAAGTAGGTAGTCAATAAATAATGCTTCGATTTTCAACTTCAGTATCTTTTATTTTCCGATGGGAAAGCGAATCTAGTTGGTGCATTCGAGAGGTCACAATTCCTATATTTAAAATTCCCAGTAGTTTTCAAAAGCACTAGGAAAAACAAAAAAAAAAAAAAATTAAGGAAAGACGGCGCCTATGCAAAGTTTTTCTGACTATTATCATGCAATAATTGAATAATGTGCTTGAGTAGGTACATATTACATATATTGTATACATGTATTGTACTATACTATCGCTAAGATTCATGTCGATCATTGCTTAATGGCTCTACGCATAGGCGCAACAAGGGGGGTGCTGGGGATGCTGAACACCCCCAAACTATAATATTTAGCACCCCCATGTAACATGTTCATAAAACACCAAAAATTGAAAAATCATGAAAAATAGTTTTTTTTAGCTTTACGTAAAGTTTTTTTTTTTATTTCTTCGTTTCTAACAGAAACACAAATTCTTGTTTGTAATAATTATAGGTATATCAAATATTAGAATTTAAAATTCATAACAATTTCAAAAATTTAAAAAAAAAATTTTCAGTTAGAAATTTATAGAAGATTTTCCTTTCATAGCTAACATTATAAATGTTGATAGAAGACTCCTCACAATAATTGGTCCTACCTTAAACAAAAAAAAAGTTTACTAGAAAGTAACATACATTTTTTATGAGCGTTTGAATCTAAAATGTGTACTACATTGAATTTTCAATTTTCATCTATAAATTTTTGATATTTTGTTGTAATTTAAAAACGAATAATCCTAGATTTTTGAAATTTTTACCAAATGTTAAAATTCAAATTTTCCTTACATGGTAAAATGTTAAAACAATTTTGACTCTCTTTGAGCTATTTATATCTATGAGCATTTTTTCAAATATTTTTAATTATTTTTCAGTTAGAAATTCATAAAAGGTTTTCTTTTCATAGCTAAAATTAAAAATGTTAAAAAAATATTTCACCTAAGTTTTTCTACCAAAAAAAACGTATACTTAAACGGAACATTAATTTTTTTATGAGTGCTTGAACTTATAATTGTTACGATATTCGATATTCAGCGGTAAATCGAATTCCTATTAATCGATTTTTTAGATTTTGTTGTATTTCCAAAATGAATAACCGTAGACCCTTGAACTCGTAACCAAACAAGACGTAGTACTCTTAATTAAACTTTATTGTACCAATATGTGGCAGACAAACTGGAATTCCGTTTGCACAAAACTACACGAAATAAAACAGAATGTGCCCATATGGCCATATCCTATACAGATCTTCCCAGAAAGTTCGAAGTCATCCTAACAAAACTCCGAATCGGGCACACTCAAATCACCTATAGTCATATAATGAGTAAAAATGATCCCCCAATATGCCTATCTTGCGGAACCTGCCTTACAATCAAACACATAATGACGGAATGTCGAACATACATCGAATCGCAAGATTGTCCTCAAAGCTTCCGGAAAACCTCTCAGAATCACTCGGATACAACAGATCTTCACTAGCAGCCACCATAGAATTCATAATAAAAGCAAAACTTCAAAACAAACTGTAACAATAAGCTTCATTAAATAATCTCTGTATCCCAATGGCCTAGGGTAATTTTTTATTAATGAAAAAAAAAAAAATAACTATAAAACTGTTTTTGTTATTTAAAATAAGTATAGTTATTACTTATTATTAATTGTATTGTATTATAAAGAGATAGGTATCGGTCAATTCTGCCACACCATAACGAGATATGGGCCAGAATATCTCACACACGCACAACACCCTCTCATTATCCGTATTTGTGATTAATGATTATTAATTATTATGTAATACAGTTTATTATTAAATTGTTTATAATTATTTTCCTATAGGTAGTACCTATTTGACTATTATAGTCAGTTGGGTGGGTCCAAGTTCGTTAAACAGTGCGAACTGTTTTCTCGAGGCTCCTTCGAGCGTGAGAACAAATCGTATTCTCCTTTTTGATAATATTATAGGCACTATAGTTGTACCTTTTCTTATTATAATTTTATGGTGTGTGCAAATAACTACTTTATTTCATAATATTGTTTAATAAATAATAGGCCTTCGCTAATATAGGTATAATATACTATACCATACATGCTTGGAATTTATAAAATAATATTATTATATTATTATATTAGTATAAAGATAATTATATTTGTTTATCCAATACTGTCTGCTGAAGAAAGACGAATATATGTTTGGTGTTGAAAGATCTGGTCCTAAGCTGCTGTAAATTGTATAATATGTCGTCGGATAGTTTGTTGCAGGTCCTTGCTTTAAGGTATGCATCATGTACCACGTTCAGTTATTATTTTTATTTTTTATTATTTATAAATCGTATGCACATATCGCCACGGTTGTTTTATAATATCGTCCCCGTTCATGCAAAACACACTAAGTCCAAAAATCGGGTTTTCCGGTTTATTGTCATATAAAATTCAGTTTAAAAATATCTACAATATGCTGTATTCAACTAAGTCCCAATATTATTTAAAGATGTTTAATATACAATTCAAAATGTTAACTAAGTCCATTCGATGTTTTCCTTAATACGCAGAATATGGAATTATAGATTGGAAAAATTGCAAAAGCTCATACTCAAAAATCATGTTTTTGGACTTGGTGTGTTTTGCATGAACGGGGATAATTGTGATTTGTTTTATGTCGTATTATATATATTATTTATATCGAATGTTGTAACCATACTGTGAAATTATAATATAAGGTAGCCGGTAGGTATAACGGCTGGCCAGTCTACTAGCAAAGCACCGATACGATTGTGACTTGTGAGTACTGACTACTAATTAACCTATGGCCAAGGTGGATCAATCCTTCTTGGCACCTTGCCTATAACTATATTATAAAATGTGACTTTGGGAGGGACAGCCCTAATTTTTTTTAAATTATTTGAAAGCAGATTTGCTCATCTGAAAAATATAGAAAACTGGAACACTAAATTGATCAAGATTAGTTCTATTTAAATGTTCTAGTATTACTAGTTACTACAATATTATTTCACTTATTTTTTGAAAACATTGTTTTATTACAAACTACTGTGTTTCATTAAGCTATTAGAAAATAATCTAAATATTTGTAATTTTCGTTAAATTAAATCCGTAATAATTTTAGAAGAAATTGACAGTTAACCAGTGGCATCATTTGGGGGGGGGGCAGTTTCCCCACCCTTGATTTTTATGGGCTGGTCAAATTTTCGGTACGATAGGGGAATAGAGCCGCTTGAATGGCGGATCTGCTCATACCCTACTTAATGTTAATATTAAATAGTAGGTAAGTAATGAAATTGTAAAATATGTTTTTTGCATAACGTTAGAATAAAAATCTGTGTTGGTGATATTGATCACAGTAATACCACCACACAACAATATCTACAACCAAATGAATTAAAAGTATTATTTTATTCAGCAATTGATAGGCAAGTGCCAAGTATTATTATAGTTTAAATATTTTGAATGGGTAATGATTTGAAAATAAGATTGAAATAATTGATTACCAATTCTAGGTACTCATTTTGCTTTGTTACTTGCACATTGGCATTATTACATGTTACATGTATAATATAAACAAAAGATTCATTTTCGGTGCATAACTTGATTCTTCTATACAATGCGTATTATATTTTAGATTCTGAGCGGAGCGAGGAAGCTAGTGGTTTTACAATGGTGTTTATTTTTTTTTTTTTATTTTTTTTTTATATCCTGTATACAAAATTTCTACCAGAAGGAGTGCTTTGATTTCAACATATAGTACCTTATCTTTTAGCAAATTGGACCAAGATGGTACTTTAGAGAGGTCATTTTTCGATTTTCTCAATAGTTATATAATGCCACGGGAAAAACCACCGAAAAATTACGAAAAACCATTTAAAATCGGATTTTAATTTCTAACGCTTTGTTTATCACCATAGAAACGAATAAAAAATTATAATATTAATTCAACTTACATTATATAATAATAATAATAACTATATAAAATATCCAGACTGACAAACCGTCTCAGCTCAGAATCGTTTTTCTTATACAATGATATTAATATATTATATCATTGAATTCAAGTTTAATACAATCCATTATACAATGGCACACTTGTAACCTACTATACAGCAGAGCGACATCCACTTACCCGCTTTTTTTAATACAATTTTGCTTAGCATGGTTATAATTTAGTTATTTATCTATTTATTTTATAGATTTATGAATGAACTTGACAAACGTCTTAATGATACAAACCACAATATCATTTTAACCTGTACTATATTTATTTCATCAAATCTTGATAACTTTAACTTCAAAAGTCCCTATCTTCGAGCTTTTTTGAATCACTATAATTACCTACTCCAATATTAATCCTATATTCCTACTGAATTTCTTATTGCCAAAAACCTACTGTCTAAAAAAAAAAATAATACCCTTGAAGATGGGGTTCATGATCTTTTTTCCATTTCAAAAAAATGTTTGGAACTTCCAAACTCTTTTCCAGAGACACTAAAAATTATTTCTATTCTAATGACACTACCAGTATCAACTACTTCCAACGAACGATTTTTTTTCGCCTTTCAAACGTATAAAAAATGCTTAAGATTAACAATGACTGATGAGCACTTGAGTGATTTGCTAGTGATTGATGTCGAAGGTGATGAAGCTTCAAAAGTTGATCTTCAGGAATCTATTGATCTATTTGCAGACATGAAATCTCGTAGATATCCTTTAAAAGCTTAAGCTTATATTTATTTTTGCTATTTTATTTAAATTTAAATTATATCATATTGTTAACTAGCATAGTATTATTCTAAATTATTAGCTATAGATACTATTTATTTTTCTGCTAAAAAACGCTTGCTTAATAGATACAGCGTTAGTTTTAAAAAATATTTGTTTTGTTATTCTTTTAACGAGCTTGTATTTAACATATTATTTAAGATTTAACAAATTTAACACAGGGCCGAAAAAAAATTTGCCCCATCCCAAGAAAAACTGAAATGACGCCCCTGCAGTTACCTATTTTAGTAGTACTGACGTACTGTGGTGTGTATACTAGCATTGATTAAATATTCAGTATATTTAATCAATGGTACTAGTATGTAGGTTGAAGGTACCTACTATATTTAATAAGTAGTGTAAATAATTTAATTTAATTAAAATAGGTATATATTATTATTATACATTAAGTACTATGATATATCAATATATTATGGCCATCTTTAAATTATTTTAACACTATTAAGAAGTTAGGTTTATATATTTTTTTTATATTATAGGTAGTGTCAGGGACGGATCCAGATGGTTGGGAGTGGAGCATTGGTCATCATATTCAGAAAATGTCGATATTATAATATAGTTTTTAAATTGTTTTGGTAATTTTGTGTAGAAATACAATTGTTTAGAAATACAGCTTGGAGGGACGGACTCTAGGGCCCCTTGTATGTAGGGTAGGTACCTATATTGAAGTAGGCACCTATACATATATAGTTGTCTTGGAGAAATTTTTTTCGATTTTCTTTGAGTACTTCTTACTTTAAATAGTTTAAACACATTTTCAAAGAAGGTATATTCTTAATATTATAACATTGCGTGTGTAATCATTTACCTACACCTATTACCTTCACAGTTTATAATAAATTATAATGGGTACCCTAGTGTTAATACATATATATATTTTTAGTATTTTACATTTTATACATATGTGGCTATGACGTGATCTATCCAGAACGCACTATAAATTATTATAACATAAAACTTAAATGTTTTACGAGTAATTTAGCGTTTTTAGCTGAAAACGGTAATAACTCACGGGTTTGTTTACCTACGTTGGACTAAATATTTGATCAGTTGCGCCGATGCGAATCGAAAAAAGGGATGTACACGTATATAGAGGTATGCGCACGATCTACGACAACGTGGGCCTAAGACGTATATAATATACTTATTTCCGATATTTCGTACTGTATTTTCGAGTAAGTGCAAGCAATCTAGGTGGGCCGTTGGCGTCTCGTCTCGAGTGTACGATAATATTATGCGATTTACGTTAATCGTCTTCGGCGGTATGCTGCTCCAAAGCGTTGTCGTCGATCGATATTCGGCCACGGCGGCGTTCGACCCGGTGCAATTAGCTAAAATGGCAAACATTCTGATGTCCGAACGAGCACTGAACGATTCGCCCACTTGTACGCTCATGGTAACGTAATATAATATAGTGTATACAGGGCCGGACTGGGAGGGTATCGGCCTACTATTCTAGGTAAGCAGGCGGCCCACAATGTATTATTTCAGGAATTTGTGTCTGTCTCACAAAATTAATATTTGGTAGGATTTAAAGAGGTTAGAGGGGGGCACTATCTTATAACCTTTATATTCAACAATCATGATTAGTTATGTGATATTATCCAATATCCATAATCCATGTCCCATGATATTATATAAAATAAATTTACTTTGTACTTTAAGGTATACACTTTAAAATAATACACAAAAAATTAGTGGAGTTTATTAAAAATGCAAAACTATTTTTTGTGAATTTATTTATTTTATTTAGAATTATTAACTAAAAATATCTTTTTTAAAGGTTTATAACAAATATTAAATGTACCTACACTATCATCATAAACTGAGTGTGAATTATTTGTAGGTAATACATTTTGTTGTGCATTAATGACCTATGTAAAAATTTAAAAATATAAAACAAACCAATATGATCTTATTTACAATAATCTGCAATTTTGAAACATTCAGTTTTGACTAACTAATAACTATTGTCTATAGATTGATAATTTCTTAGGTAATATTTGTACCTTTACTGGTTTTGATTGATTTGTTGCAAATATATTTGATATTTTTTGGCATGATTTTGCAGCAATTTTTAATTGTAACTCATTTTTTAGCCTTTTTTTCTCTGCTCCACCCTTGAATACTTTCTTAGCAACATTTTTCTTTAAACAATGTTCCATACTGAATAAAATTTATGATTATTGTATCACAGACTCACAGTTATAATAATTTACAAAAACAAAATACAAATAAAATTGTATAAACTAAAAAATTTGTAAATAAACAGTAAACACAAATGTAATAAACTGATAAATCAATGAGTTAATTTGAACAGTGAACAGTCAGTAGACGTCCATATGACATAACGATAACGTGTTATCACAATTTTACATTATCATATTATTATGCACGTTTTTTACTTTTTTTCGCGCACGCCATTAGAAAACTCGGACAACATATTATTATTTGATAACCAAAAGCCATATAATATAAAAAAAGATATGCATTAAGCACGCCGCAGTGCCGCACGGTAAATACTAGATTTACTTCCAAAAAGCTGATTCAGACTATTCTGTAATCTCAGCAAAGATTTTTATCACGGCCGCGGCCTACTGTGCTGTAGCACAGTAGCACAGTGGGCCAGTCCGGCCCTGAGTGTATAATATACCTACCTACCTGCTATTTATTTATTTATTTTCGATATTTATTGTAAGATCGTCGTCTCCCGCGTCATGAAAGTGCGTTGTGACTATGACACACATCTCAAAATTCGCGTCATTTTAACTATTTAGGTACGGCGTTTGATCCTATACTCGCGGACTTAGCTAACCGGATGAAAGATATCTGACCTAGTGCAATACGCCAATACTGTGAGTTGTAGTTTTCTTTTTAATTTTTACTTGTATGGTTAATCCATGCTCATAAGTCACAATCGTATATTTTGGTCGTATAGTGCACCCCAGCAGCATCCAACCAGCGCAGCATCGAGTATACCTACCTAATATTAAAATAATTAATAAATAATAACACAATGATATAATATAGAGATAAGAGCTGATGTACACAATATAATATCCGAGTATACTATGTATTTATATTTTACACGTTAGTATTATATAATATTTAATACGATTTTTCTCCGATAATTATAACCATGATCATAACAAAAACTACCTATGCTAATTTCTAATTCATAATTTTTCTAAGCGAATCGCGTAATATCATCGTGTATCTCCGATAAGGGTAGTCCCGCCTACACAAAGTTGGTGATAATGCCATTATAAATCTACGAACTTTGCCACCTACGTTTGTTTTGCCGCCGGATTTCAATTTCAAATTTTCATTACTGATATTCCTTCATCTCGACTTTTTACGGGCTGTTTAGATTCCATCGACGGTTTCCGCAGCCCGCAACCACCAATTGAATCCATCTCAGCTCAGGGTATATGGGTGGGGTTCAAGGGGGCAGTCACCCCCACAATTAGTAGTTAGTATTAGTATATCTTTTTAAGAATGTCTTAGTTTATAAAGTTTGTCTTTAGGTGCCTGAATTGTTTCTGATTACATTAATATTGATATAATTGTATATTTATGGTTAATGCATTAAGTATACCTATTATACATATATTATAGAATATATTTACTTCATACTTCTCAGTTATTACTAAACTCGTACATCAATTTAGATGGCTATATTTTAATACATTTATATTTTATTTTGTTGTCTTGATGTGTGATTAAAATTTTCTATCCATATTACATATTAATATATTATCCAAGCGGACGTCGTACATACGACAACCCGTAAGTGTATTGTCTCCATCAAAGTGTCAAACACACAGCATAGACAATTTACGTACAGAATAATCCATTTTACTCTATCGTTTTTAATATTACATTAATTTGACCTGTTATTTAAATGTAAAGAGTAAAATATTACTAAGGGCCATGTATAGGCTTATTTTAGATTCTGAGCGGAGCGATGAATGTATTGGTTTTACAATGATGTATGTTTTTATATTTTTATTTATATTTTTGTGTCTGTCATCACGTTTTGGGACAGTAAAAGTGCTTCGATTTTCTTCAATAGTACCTTTTCTGATAGGAAAGTGAATCTAGTTGGTACTTTGGGGGGTCAAAAGTATAAATTTCCCAGTAGTTTTCACAAGCGCCGGGAAAAACAACATAAAAATTAAGGAAAAACGGGAATTTTTACGCAAAATTGGTTTTCCAAAAAATCGATTTTGGTTTTTGGTGTAACTCTAAAACAAATGAACGTATATACATGAAATTTTCACTGGTTGTTTATATTTGCATTTTCTATACACGATAACATTTTCAAAATATTTTGATTTATTTTGAACTGTTTAGGGACATTTTCATTTTTCATTTTTTTTTAGTTTTTTTTCTAGAAATATCAATAAAATTTTATTTGTTGGTTGCGAAAGCTTGAAAATTTAATAGAAGGCTCCTAATATGTTGTTTCAAAGGCAGATGAAAAATATTAAAAATCCTTAGTCACAATTTTTTTTTATAAGCACTTAAAGTTCAAAAAGGTGGGCAAGTGGGTGTCGCTCTGCTGTACAGTAGGTTACAAGTGGGTCACTGTATAATGGATGGTATTAAATTTGAATTCAATGATATAATATCATTGTATAAGAAAAACGATTCTGAGCGGTGATGGTATGTCAGTCTATGTATAAGGCATATTATATACATATCTATGGTATTAAACAAAAAATTGACCTATAATAGGTACCTATAATAAATTCCAAATTAATCATATCACAATATCCATTAGATACTTATAACGCGTTATACATCAACAAAAACCGTGATACTATCATAGATATATAATAGTACACTTTAGAAGTTTCAAGTACCCACGAATAGTATTATTCAATCACAACAAAATAACTAAAATCGTAATTCTTGGTTTAAATATGAAATTTTGT